TTTGCTTAATGATCTGCTTCCGGTTTTGACGGTTTCACCTTCCAAGAACCGGGAAAATATTTGGGCTGAACTAATTTTGTGATGATGGGAAGTATTATTTTTTAAATATGCAAAACTGCCGCTAAAAATCAACTCCAGCGCGGTATTTTGAAGCACCGGTGGGTTTTTACTGAAATGACTTATTATTTTGGGTATGCCATTTTCGGAATGTTTTTTCTTGTCGAGTATTGCTACGTTTGACGTATTGTCTTTAATATTCGAGTCTACGGATTTACATAAATATTGCGATCTACATTGAAATTGGTTACAGACTAACAATGAGTCACAGTTTTTCGAATTAACTGGAGGACTTTTTACTTTGTCTAGTGCGGTAGATGACTCTGCATTAGAAGTTTTATCTAAATTAATTTGACATACGCCTTCGGAGTTGTAACAATCATTAAAAATATGATTTTTCTCTTCATTGGGTATTGAATTTGGAAATTTTGAACGATTTGATACTATACTAGGAGTTCTTGAAATAACGGAATTAAGAGGGGATTTTTTACCAATAGTGAACGGCAATTTACGTAGAGCATTGAAATGGGTTTTGTGAATTTTGATGGGTTCTCCATTTTTTAATTTGTGTACCTTTAAAGGCTTTAAATTTTGACAAGTTTTTTCCAGATCCGTGGTTGGTACGTTATTGTTTATCTTACATGAATTCGAGAAAGTACACAATGGAATAGTTTTCTCAATGAGAGCCTTATATAATTCGGATATTTTTTGAATATAATTTAGCACTTCTCTGATATTATAAATTATAGGTTTGATCGTTTCCGTGTTACTCGTGTCATTCGGGACTACTATTGTTTCAGATTTATGCTGAACTACAAGCATTTGTAATTCTGAATAAATTCGCTGTACGTCTTCATATCGACGCTTTAAGTGGCCTCTTTTTTGATGATTTGCAACATTTGATATAAAATTAGAATGTGAATCTATTTCGCTGAGAAGAATTGAAAATTTAACAAAAGTATTGTCTTGGATTACCACCATCTTGAGTACGAGAATAATGTATTACACCAACCAAACAGAATTAAAGCTTACCTGGAATCCTGGATTCCTGGATAGAATTATCTTGGCTGACGCTGAATGATACTTGAGGATTTTGCACAGCACTCGCGGTCGTCACCGATAGTTGAACACTGCGCGGATGATTTCTGGGTGATGTTTTGATAACTACTTTGCTGAATTCCAGCCGATGAATGATATGTTGAGAATTACACTTATCACTACCACTGTTATTCTGTCGCTAATCCGGCTCGAAGGACCATGTCGAAGTTTGTATAAATGAATAAAGACCAGCGAACAGTAAGATAAATGTATATTGATAGTGACAAGTGTTAGGATAAATAAGAATGATAAGAATAGAATATTATGTGACCGTGCGGTCGAGATAGTTGAATGTTAGTTACGAATTGAGAAATGTGAATTGAATGTGTTTGAATGAGTTCAGAATTAAGAATCAATGCTACCCTGTGTTCCAAGGTGGGGGTGGCTCTGGCTCCCACCCTTACGGGTGGGGAGGGGTGAAACAGGTCCCCGCCAGAGGCTCTAACAGACGACTTACGACGGTATGAATCACTATCGCTACTTGCATACTTTACTACTTAAACAGTGCATTATGTTTGGAAAATATTATGCCATAAAAGAGGTTATTGTAGTTGTTTTATCAATTATAAGTAAAAAGCATTACGTAACTAAATCCTGAAGGTTTTAAATCAAGTGTGACGAATATTTTGAAATTGTATTTAGCATTTATTACTCCTGTATTTTTCAAATCATGTCTGTATTTTATTAACGGATTATACTTTAACCTACCAATATGTACAAAAATGTCTTTGTTCATCAACTTTACAACCTGTTTACCTTCTCTAATAAATCATATATTCATTAATAAATAAAAATCTAACCCGGGGATGTCTCAGGACCACTGCATAAAAAAGTAAACTATCCTGGATCAATTTCGACTTTATTAAGGTGTCTTAATATAGATGAAATCGATACAAACAAGATTCCATTGTATAAGCACTCGTAAATATTTAAGGAACGGGCTAGAAAACAATACAGGTATTGTTCATGCTATAACAATCTAAAAATAATTATAGTAACAACCGACAGACTAAGACTTTTAGTTCAAAAACAGCTACGCAAAGAACTAGTACAAAACTATAATTTCGCACGTCACATGACCGTTTTGGCAGGATTTTAACTACAGCCAGGAAAATCAGTGAAACAGAGAGATGAATGTCTTGAGGAGTGGAAGCTACTTAAGATGAAATCAGATATTTTATTGCGATTAAGACATTAGGAATTACGATAAGGAATACAAAATTCAGTTGACTCATCTTACAACAATTGGTGGATTAAAAGTACGAATAGGTATTGTAGTTAGAGCTGGTATCTATTCAAAATTATGTTTATATTTGGTTTTACGTGAAACAAGCGCTACGTTACTTCTTTACAGATAATCATGCTAATTGTGGTTTTCTTACTGAAAACATCTCAAGGTTGTATAATTTTCTGTTATACTCTGTTTTTTGTGTGTTGAAATAATAGTTTTATATTATTGTTCTACAGGCTGATATACTGATATAATGAGTTGGAATAAACTAGAATAAAAATAAACTTATACACTTGTATGTACATTTTCACTTTAGTCAACAACACCAGGAGTGCTTTTCGGAAAGATATAAGATGTTTGTTAGCTTACACAACGGAAACATTTCGTGATATAAATTTCACAAAATTACTTTAAATGGCTAAATGGCTGTTTGGTGAATTTTTAGATTGTCCCTTCCACATCGATCGATCGGTTTCGAAGAAACATTGCTTGGTAACAGCCCACCGCGAAGCGGAATTAGATACACCCAACGTAACATTCTTGGGAAAACTGTGATACAACTACCCATAAGTTATACCTCATTTACTTTTAGAAGTTGACGTTTAACAAGAACAAACTACTCTACATAAAGATACTGAAGATACTACGCCAAGAATTGGTGCATACTTTAAATAATGAAATAAAATTTTTATACTATTTCTTCGTTAAATTTCTTTAGTAAATGTGACACCACAAAAACCACATTCAAAAAATGCAGTAGTTAATGTTGAAACAGAGATAACAACCCATCTCTTTTTACCAGCATTACTTCAAGTTTGCCCACATGATTAAAAATAGAACGAATTGACTGGATTTCCAGTTAAAGCAATAATTTTCGCCGTAATTGTCCTAAATGGTGTTTCAAATTTATGCAATTAAATTAGGATTGAGTCATAAGTCACGCCAGTATCTTTACCACGATTGTAATTAGTTTGAACCCAAGTCACATCGAAATTTACAAACCCAGTAACAATAAGGATCTGATTCTAAATTTGTGTCATTTGTGGTATCTTTAGCAAGATTGTAGCCAAGTCACATCAATCTAAGTGCAACTAATTCAAGTTTGGATGAAACTGGTGTCGAATATAGATTATTTATCTACATCAGGTGTTCAGAAATGATTAAATTGAAATCACGATTGATTGTGACGTTGTTAGCTACTCAAAAAAAAAAAAATTAAAACAGGCTATTTTCTATAGATAACGTTTTACATGAACGATACAACATAAAAATGAACTGTGTTTTTTTATTTTTCCACCGCATTCTCTATAGTCCTTCCATAAATTAACTAATGGGATTTTATACAAATGGTTTTGAACAAAAATATACTGGCAAGTCATTCTCAACAAAGTGATAAAAAAATCAATAAATGTGGTGCAGAAATTTTCTTTAACTAGCACAACAGACTAGTTGAGCTTGCACAATGTGATCTAAAGTTTCTTCACACAATTTATATTTTATTATTTATGTTATGCATAGTTTACGCTTTAACACACTTAATAGACACGTAAAATTTTGAGCAAAATTCGACACCATTGGAAAAATTATCCCAAAGTCGTCACATTCTCATGCTCCTAAACAAAAAACGATCAATGAACTTCAACAATAGAGTTAGATATTTATTTCGATTAGTATGATACATTTGCGTTTATTTTTATCTTTCTCTTTAATTCTCTCAGAAAATACATGATGTTAAATGTAAAACACAATTGCCACCCACAGTTGGCCAGAGTTCAAAGATTTTTGTATCGCTTTAAAATATTATATGAATATGACGTCCTTAGATGTTTATCGAGTTTCATAATGTTTTAAATGTCTACTCGGAATAGGCAATAAAATGTTGCGCGCTGATATGTGAAAAAATTAATACTGCCGGATTAAGGAGATAACAATTGATTAATCCTAGACAGTTCTTTGTTCAGACAAAGAAAATATAAACAGCATATTAAATTCTGTTTTCAACACTTCTTCAAAAAAATCTAAATTAAGTAAACACATGATTGAATATCTGTACCAGCGATTAGGTGATTAATACTTTTACTACTATAAACAAAAATTCTGCATAAGGCTGGAATAAACAGAAATAATTATTACACTGCCATAGAGAACTTGACTTCTATTTTACTATAAATAACTTTGAATAATACGCCTCGCAATTTGCATTTAACTATAGGTTACAATAGAAAACTTACATAAACTACCGCAAAGAAAGCTGAAATGTTTCAGCTGATAGCTTATGTAGATTACAAAAAAACGTGTCACACCTATTAAATGTAAAGTAAACTATAAACAAATATGGTTTGTGGCATTTTAGTTTAAGTAATGACAAACAAAAATGTAAATGTAAAACCTACACACCACGAAACGAATGACAAATAATCTTCAAAACAACAATTATCACATGATCTCCAACTTGAACAGTGACTAATCAGTTAATAAAAGCAACATTTAATATGAAATAAACAATAAAAAATACTGTCAGCACCGGTTTTCTATTCTATTTACGTTTTACTGAATCGATTTTGATAACGGAATCCGGATGGATACAAGCTTAGGAATTGGCCGTGAAACTCACCTATTCTCGAACCTACTTGAGTGGAAAAAGGATTTCCACCTAAAGCATTTCCAAAAAACGACATTATTTAATTTTTATAACAAATCGTTTGATTGCACTCTCTTGTTGTCACTTGACTTGTACTAACTGTCACTGTCACCTGTCAAAATAACAAAACACTACTGCGTCGTCGCCAGAACTGTGTTCATAAAAACGGCGCGTCCCAGAATAATAATTTACTTGTACGATAAACTACAAAGTTAACAACCATGAATAACGTAGCGTGCTCAGAAGTCTACAGATATATTTATTTATTGAGCTATAAATGAGAAAAATGCGCTGGAGTTTTACAACGTTTACATGAAGTCCTGCGACGGAATGTCAGACATGACCTTCACATCGCCACCTTGATATGAATCATGCTCTACGAGGAGTAGTCAAAAAAATATTTCGAAAGTTTCCATAGTTTTAGGTAAACGAAGTGTTGAGGGGTAATAAAAAAAGCCATGACAACACTTGTGACATCAATAATTTTTTGCACTCGTCACGTTTGAGACTTGCTACCTTATTCCCCAAGTACACTTTCTGACAAAGCTACTGAAATGAATCCCTGTAAATTAAAAGAACCTAAAGTGATAAACAACGCCTTGCTTGAAAAGTGTGTGCAGGAACAAGGCCCTAAAGGAGAAGCCGGTCGTTTGGCTCAAATTGAAAAAGTACCACTTGAAGAAGTTCCACAAATCAGACTAGAGTTTTTAAGTATTTTTAGCGTTCGAGTAAAGTTTGCGGCTTACTAATTCGCGTTTCAGATATACTACGAATTGACCACTTGTGGGTACTTACGTCTCTAACAAAGTTAAATCTTAACAATAATTTGATCGAAAAAATTGAGAATTTGGAAACACTGGTACATTTAGTTGAACTGAACCTATCGTTCAACAAGATATCAAAAATTGAAAACTTAGACGAACTTGCGAATCTCGAAAAACTTAGTTTCTATGATAACGAAATCGAAGTACTCGAGAACATGGATTTTTTGACAAAACTGACGGTCTTCAGCATTGGAAGAAACAAAATCGCAGAACTTGAAAATGTGCGTACTTAGTACACCAAAATTTACCAAAATTAACATTCAAGTTACAGGTTCTTTACTTACGACAATTCTCTAATCTCAAATGTTTAAATATGGTGCAAAATCCCTGCTCTGAAACGGAAGATTTCCGTTTATTTATCGCAGCCTTCCTCCCTCACCTAGTTTACTATGAATATAAACTGATTTATGACATGGAACGGGAACTGGGACAGGAGATTTTTGGGTATGTTCTCTGACAAAAAACCAAAAATATTTATTTCACGCTTTTCAAGTTCAAAATTACGACAATTATTAGAAAGCGAAGAACGAGAAAGAGAAGCGAGGATGCAAATAGACAAAGAGATAGCCGACGCCGCACTGCATGCTTCAAGTTTTGTTGAATATTTAAACACTCATCATTTGTTTGACAGTTTGTTCCTCAACGACGACGACGGAAAACATCTACTTCTGATAGAAGACGCGAAAGACTTTTATGACGAATACGAAGAACAGTTCTTAGCTCTATGTATGCAAATTTTCGAGAACGGTCAGGAACAGTACCGTTTACGAACAGACGAGATCGATCAATTTATGAAATGTGTCGAGGATGCTCAAACAAGCAACCAACAGGAGAGCATAGTAAAAGGCTAAAAATAACGGTTTTTTTTTTCTCAACATGCAGTTTCAGAAACATATGGAAGTTTTCATAGAACAGAAGGCGGAAGTGTTTTACAAGATAAAAGGGATTCAGAAACTGTTGAACAACAACGAAATAACCTATGAAGAATTTATTGATAAATGTGACGTTTTAGTGTTGGAATATGACAAACTATTGCACGATATATGGAAAGCGCTTATGAAACTGGAGCTGGAACTTTATGAACAAATGGAAGAAGTCAATCAAACGTTTGAACAAAGTATAACGGAACTTGTTAATCAGTTTATTGAATCCTCGCAAGGTTACTTTTCCCAAATTCGAGACTTGGAAGTTAGCTACGCTGAGAATATTGGAGATCTTGCTTTGAAGTTTCAAACGAACGCTACCTTAAGTGAAGAAATCGTCGTTCCTGAGATCCTTAAGCCGGTAACGCGATATACCGTTTCTATATTTCCTTATTTTTTCTAAATATGACGGTATAATGAAGGTACATATAATAACCCTTAAATCTGGTTATTCTTGACGTGAAATGGTCTATGACCAAACATCTTGATCACTAAAGCTCGGAATTATATCCAGAAACCAAACATGTAGATAAATGTGCTCCTTTACATGCAGAGAAATTTGGCACTGTATGCACAAAAATTGCTAAAATATGCAAGAAATATATGCAAAATATGCAAGAAAAACTTTTTTTACACATTAATATTTAATTTATATCATTTATTACAACAATTATTTATGACTTAGATAGTACATATTTGGACTTAAACTACACATTTACAAATTAAAACTAACTACGTCGGTGTATTCTATTACTCTACTAACTAGCTATTTTATTGACTAACTAGTTACTCTCTTGAAAAATATTATTATTTACATTTATTATAATATGTTTTTCTAGATTTTCCATTTTAAATTAATGTCTTCGATCACTTAAAATATATTTATACACTGAAAAACTACGCTCTACATCGACAGACGTTATTGGGGCATATTTAAGAGACGACACAATTTGAGGGTCTATATTTACCTCATCTGAAAAGTTTAAATCTAAAACTTTTGCCATATTAGTTAGTCTAGTAAAACCTCCATTTTTACTAAGGACTTCGTCTAGTTTTTTTGAAATTGTCTGAGCAATAGGACTTTGTGCTTTATGCATTAGCTGTAAGGATTCACTAAAAGGGGTACTTTTTATTTTTCTAATTTTGTTAATGTTACACCAATTAATTCGTAGTTGTTGTTATGAAACTTAAGTTCTGATTTAATTTAGGACACCCTCAGAAAGCGTTAATACGATTTTATGAAATAGTATAGCATTGAGTAAAAATATGTTGGTTAAACTTTCTTGGACAAAACTACTTATAATTACATTATTCGCCTTTTCTAACTCTTTAACAGCAATTAAATAAGAATCTGACACAAAGTTTGCGGATAAAATACCAACTAATAAATTTTCTATATATGTTCCGCACACATCTGTTGTTTCGTCAACAACAAAGTAAATAAAGTTATTTTGCAAAGGTGTCTTAATTTTAGCAACAGTTTCGGTATAAGATTTATCTACAGTTGTTGTCCTGAGAGTACTTTCGTCTGGAATGGTTCTTTTTACAGTATTTTTCCAAAAATGAATTAAATGTAGGGTTAGTTAAGTTATTTAATGGAATATTCGAGGCAAGCATGGTCTAGCATAATTCGAACTTGAATGTTTCCTCTTCATTTTTGACTGCATTAGCAGATAAAATTTCTCGCATTGCTGTTTGAGTTACACTGGTTGAGTGTCTTTTTTCACAATTTCTTTTGTGAAAAGGCGTTCTGCAGTGTTCATCTATAAGATATTTCTTTGTGCTCGAAATCTGTACAAAAATTGAAAACAAAGAATTATTTATCTAAGAGATACCTATTATTGACATTGAATAATAGTTTTTTATTTGGTTCTCTTAGACTTTAGCTAACCAACTGAAAATTCATATATTTCAAAAATCGATCGAAAAATGAAGTACTTACAAATCCATTCTAGGTTTTCCATCTCTTCCAACCCCTCGTTAAATACATTTGCAGAATTAAGGTAAAAGTCCCTATAGATGATAACTTAAGCAGATCCCTTAAAATGAAATCCCGTAAAAAATTCATTTCTACTCTTTTTTACCGAATTTGATATGTAGGTTTATTATGAAATCATTAATTTTTGCAAAAGTTGTTTTTTTTTAAGTAAATATATGATCATTTGAATGAGAAATATTAAATCAATTATTATTATTAAATAATGAATTGTACTAGTAGATGATATACCTACCGAAAATTGTTCTGAACCAGTAAATGATCGGTCTTGTCGTAGTAGATGATAATTCGAATTTCAGTCTATTAACTACCAAAACTTAACAAAATTGCGATTAAAACATATCAACTTGATTAAACAAAAACATATTTTTTAAAAAATCAAAAAAATATATAAACGAAAAATTAAAGAAAAAATTAAAAATAATTATAAAATTCCTGTATTTCTTCCACATTAAAAACTCCTCAATTATTTAGCTTCCATGGTGTTTCAATTTTTTTAACAGTATCTTCTTTGTCGTACCATAAAACATTTATGGCATCCGACCATTTCCATTTTTTGGCCTCCGTCTTGACACCACTTTTATAGATAACATATAACATTGACCCTGATCTATTGATCAACTATGTTTTAAAATTTGTCCCAGGTAGTACATCTCTTCATATTTGATAATAACAAAATCATTCCTTTGGTAGGGTAATTTGTTGACCTTTTGTTGTTTCTTGAAAGTATTTGCTTCTTTTTGTTGTTGCTTTTCTTCATGTAACCTCTTTCGTTGTAGTTTTTGGTTTTCTTTTATCTTCTTTTTTCGATGATACATCTGCCAGCCGGAAGACCTCGCCACAGAAGGAATCTTTTCTTTGGACAATCTCTTTTTTCCTTTCTGTTTTTCTTTTTCGGAGTTTTTGGCCAGACCAGAACCTTTTTGAAAGGCTATGGAACATAAGTCAGTGTTTTGTCATTCTATATACAAGAATAAATTTAATACGCCTATTGAAGAAATATTTTGTCATTCTGTTTTTCAGGAGTTATTGGAAAAACTTGAATATTTTGATTTCACGTTCTGTTGTCTCACTCTCTATAATGTCGCTGTGATTTCTTCAACATGTTCATCAAAATTTTTAGTGTTCTCATTAAAATTACTCTTTTCAGAACTGGAAATTTGGAATCATCAACTGGTATAATCCTCAATGACCCATTAAATGTTACCTCTGTTATCAACCACTAATACATTAAGCACTGCAAGAGTACCAGTAGATGAATTGTAATTTTATGGATTATAACCTAATTCTATTGAGAATTAATATATTTTAAAGTTAATTCTCAATATGACATGCTAGGAGTACTAACATTAATCTGACTAACGCTTAAAGCCAAATAATAAAATTATTTTGGTACTCACTTGTTTAGCGATCTACGTAAGAGAAGCTGTGAAATTGAGCTGGAAAGTGACTTCAGATTTTTATTAAGACTGCCATTTACCAATACCTCAGTGTACAAAAATGCAATAAATGCAGATTTCATACAGACCTCTTCAAGATAATATTTCTATAAAGTATAAAGATTTTACGAAATTCTGCTGCACAATTCTTATTTTACAATTATTTTTGCACGTTTGGTCATCCACTGGGACGTTATCACTGACTGGGACTTTTACCTCATCTATATTTAAAACATCCGGCTTAGAGGCCGTTAAGTAAAGATTTCCATTAATACGCCTATAATTGGGGCTGCCCATAAATGAAATCGGTACTTACCTGCATACTGCCAATAACCAACTGTATTAAAATTAAGATTTCCACCAATTACCGCGAAAAATGCAGCAAAAATTTTAAAATATGCATAAAAATGCACTTAACATTAAAATAGGCATTTTGCATATTATCCAAGCCTTATTATGATAACACATGATTTATAAACATAAACTGACAGCATTGATTGTTCTTTTTGTGTTTTAAACAGATAATGAGCGATAAGGATGCTTTACATAATTCACTAGCAACAAGTCATGACGTGCACATGCAAATTATAGATGCTCGTGAAGATACTTTGAGTGGTAATGCCAGAGACTGGTTGGAGGATCTAATTGACAATTTAATGAAGTATAACATCTCGGAGAAAGTATTTTAACATTCAGTGCCTATTTTTAACTTTCAGAAATGAAGTAAAACGAAATAGGGGTAAAATATTGGAAATAAACCATTTTCTTGACATACAACGAGAAGAATTTGACGATCTAAACGCCGAATACGCACCAGAACCTGAAGAAGTTGCCTCAGCAGATTAATACCTCATCAAATAAATATTACTTAGTTTTAACTATCAATAAAAGGTATTTACTCTTTTAACATTTGTATTTCGTACGTTTGTAAAATTAGCAAAATAATATAAAATCTGTAGTTATATAAGTAGCTATAAAGATATAACAATTTTTTATGACGAAATCATTTATTCTGCTTCTGTTTCAGCGATTCCAAATACATACCAATTGCTTCTTGTAATTTTGGATCATTTATGAATGCGGTTAATTTGTTCATTTCTTCATTTCTAGTTTTAACCAAAGCCTGGAACAAAAAATGTTTTAATAAATATTTACAGTTTGTAATAATCATCTGAATCTGAACGTAAACTGTCGTCGTTCTACAACATACCCAATAAATTTTTACAACGTTTCCTTGTACCTACATTGACTGGTTTTACGAATATACAGCGTGATCAACAAGTAATGTTGGCAAAAGAATAACCGATTGAGAAAATTTTCTTTTGCTGCTATTGCCAAGCCTGATTCAAATATTTGGTGCTGTCATTTTGACGCAATCAAGAAAGTTAGGTTATCACATTTTCATAATAAATCAATTACAAAATTTTGACGTAAATTAAACGCCACTGTCAACTATCTAATCATTGCGTTGATTGTTTTTTTTTAAGTATGGTAATGTTTTAAGCACTTAATATTTACTCAAAGAATGTGGACGATTTTTATTCAAAATTTGTGCTGGAAAAATGTTGGTACCACTTAATTGCGGTCCAATCTAGTAATCTTGGGTAATTTTGACAGAACTATTTTATTAAATGTCAATTATCATGCCATTTTGTTGTTAATTACTGGTACCTGTGCAATCAATGTTCTTCATATGCGTTTTTTAAAGAATATATATATAAGAAACTGGAAATAGAGGTCGATTTTTATTAATAAATTGTGTGCATCACTTGAAATTGTTGGAAATTTGTTGGTATGTATTCATTTTCCAAAATTCTCTTTCCGTATTCCGAAATATTGAACTCGCATCTAATATTATTTTTCGCGCCATATGTACATAATTATACATGCAACGTATATACGCGCGCTCATCAATACGCCGTTAATTATAAGAAATAAAAAGAAAGTTTCAGACGAAAGTTGTACGGTTTTTTGAGAGATCTCTAATAATAATGAATGTCGAAAAGCGTGTGCTTGGTGATTCACCCTCTATAATTATGCAAGTAATCGGTTCGTTAGTTCCATTATGTCGTAATTTATAACCTGTGAAACAGCATCGTGAATAAAACACAAATTAGAAGTAAAAATTAAAAAAAAGCAAAACTAATATTTTTTTATGAAAACCAATTTTTGTTTTGTATCATCTGTAAACGCCTCTTGATTTTATATTTTAACAATTTATGCTGCACTAACCTGAATATCGGCTCCACGTAACAATGTTTTAGTCATTGTCCTCGCATGAGGAGGAATTCTTTTAAACTTATCGAAGAACTTTCCAGCCTTTTCAAGAGCTTCATCTTTACTTTGAGCAACTTCATCCACCAACCCTATTTTTAAAGCCTCATCAGTAGTAAAAAGATTTCCAGTAATTAACGCTAATTCAGTCTGCCTGGTTCCAATTGCATTTCGCATAGATGCTGCAAACCAAGTCGGGGCTATCATTCCAAGCTTTGTTTCATTCAAGCCAATTGTGAAATTATTTAACATTATTCTGTATTCACACGACAGGGCTAACAAACATCCCCCAGCAGGAGCATGACCCTGCATTAAAAACAACTCAATTACAACCAGACACAGCTATTAAATTACTCATACATTAACAACAGCAACTGTAGGGTACGAGCTGCCATACAAATTAATCCAGGTTTGCTGCAGAGTTGTCCAAAATTGTTTATAGCGATCCATGTTAGGTTTGTACATTTCATAAATATCTAAACCTGCGCTGAAGACGGTGTTTGAGCTCTACAACATGGAGAACTAACTTTAACAAGAAATATTTATTCCAGAAGTATTACGGAGGTTAAAATTAAACCTCTGCTTTTGTTTTTCTCCAGTTGTTCCAGAGTGCTGCATAGTTCTGTCAAGAGTTCCAAATTCAGACTGTTTACAGGGGGCCTTTGGAGTGTTGCTGTTGCAATTCCGGTTTTTTCGTTAATGCTGACGTTAACCAGAGGGCCACTTGTTGAGTAGGTCCTAATAGGATTTGAAAGAGAAGCGAGGCTGCGTACTGCTCTTAACGCCATTGAGACACAAGCAAGTTAACTTTCAGATTTAAAAAAGTGATAAAACTGTTCTAAACACAATACTGGATATCATAAGAAGTTTTTGTAACTTGCATCAACTTTCCATACGTTTTGGCTTATATTTATAAGTCTAACATTAATATATCGCTAAAAATACAATAATCAGTACATCGAACTTTGCTCCCAACATGAAAGTCCGTATGTTGATCCAAAGTCCCCCCCCCCTTATTCACATGTGTTGATGCCGGCAACTTTGACATCTGAGCATTTTTAAGTGCGCATTACCGGGTAAACCAACACGTATTGACACATGCTGAAGGGGCTTCCCCAGTTCTAATTCGGTTTTATGATGTATAAAAGTTAACTTGCTTAACAATAGATTACTACTGCCGGTGATGGGACAGTCATAAATAAGCTTTTAACCATTATACTGTAATTACTGTATAATGCTATCGGCGTGGTTAAATGGTTATTTATGACGGACCTATCACCGGCAGTGATAACTTTTATACAATGGGGTACTATCATAAAACCGAATTTAAACTGGAGAAACTATACATAAATGTAAAAATACTAGTAATAATAACAAGTAGGTATTGCTTTGTTGTTATAAATAATGTTGACTGTTTAAATAGCTATACTAATTTATTAGAATCCAATATAAAGAAAAACATGAATTATCTACTTTTTATAGCATAGGATTGATCCACCATATATTATAATATTATATACTCCTATAATATACTCTATAGTAGTAGTATTTTACCATCTAAACGATATTCCTAACACACACACACACACACAAGTTGACAATAATTAGTCCAGCAGTTTCGAAGATTATCTCTCTAATACAGACGAGTGACAGACAGAGAGACAGACGACACATTGATACACAGAAACGTGGCACATACTTTTTCATACTCTAGGTGTCATAAAACGTCAATAAAACATGAGAGTAGCCGCTCGACGGATGGATAGAAGAAGGTGTTACAATATTTTATTTACAAAAATGGAGAAAAGGAAGCCAAGGGAGAATAAATACTACAAACGATTTGAAGATCTTGATATTGATATATTTATTAATTTCTGTGATAAACAAAACAAGTATACCTATATTTCTTGCATATTAATATGATTATTTAAAGTAGACAAATTATATAAAACTTGGGTATATGTAAAAATATAAAATATAACATTTTCCTTTATGACAAAATCACTTGCTTAGTTTCTGTTTTAGGTTTAACTCTATAAACTCACCAAGTGAGTCCTGAAATTGTGAATCAGTAACAAAATCTACGTAACTCCTCACTTCTTCATCTTTATTCCTAACGAGAGCCTAGAACAACGAACATATATACAACTTTAGACTTATCATAAAAAAAAAACACAAAAAAAAGTCATACAATTTTACAAAATTTAAAACTTAGTGTCTATAATGTCCATACAAAATGTTGCTAAAAATATTAAGACTATGAGAAAACCCAAACATCCCGCCTTAAATTGACATGTGAAAAAAAATTGAAAGCCAGCGGAAAATTTAAAAATTCAAAATTTGGCTTTGGCTGTGATCGTCTGACAAAATGGAACTCTACGTTGTGAGATAGAGAAATATTGTATGAGGTGAAAAATTGCAAAGCTAACAAAATTTACATGAGATTACTACTTGACACACTTTATCAACGATTCAAACAAAGAGTTTACATTATGTTAAATTATGTCTTGATCCAAGTGATTGGTTACTTAAAATAATTAACTTTGAGTTACCCCAACAAAACACATAATAAATAAACACAAAAATATCCAGTCATCGTGAAATCTTTAACGTTGCGAGGAAATGTCTCAGTGATGTAATCAATCTTTAACGTTGCGAGGAAATACCTCAATGATGATAACGATGCTAATAACGATGATAACTGCCTAAGGGAAGAAATTATTTTAACTCCCCGCCAATTCGCGATATAATGAATTTTGTTAACTTAACTGTCATAAATGAACTATTAGTAATCTTGTGTGAAGAATTAAGAAGTGTTATAATGTAACACTTCAGTATATGCATCCAGAAACTTCATTCGTAATTAAACAAACAAAGGGTGTTATCCTGACTAAGTGAATTTCATGAAATCTCCTAGTGTTGGTCTAGACTCTAGACAAATCTAATGGCTGTTAAATTGTGTTAGAACCAGTTAACGATTAAAATCCTAACCTGATCGATGCCTTTACAAACAATGAATTAAATTTACACGGGTTGGCGTCGTTTAAAAATTTACATGTTTTCCGACATGTACCCAACAAGCGTTAACGTGCACATGGTTGCCTAAGTTTAACGATTTTTTTTATTGATTTTCTTTCAAATTCAAATTATTCAAATGTGATTCTGTTAATTAAATTCAGCGTGAAAATTTGATTCAAATTCGGTCACAACACTTCCAATAATTTCGAAAGTTGTTCTTACAAGTTTCAATGTGATCCTTGTAAGAATTTGCTTTATTGTACTTTTATAGTCGGAGAAAATTCTTTATCTCAAAATCTCTGTTCAGAATTCAAAAATTCAACCATGCATGAGAACTAACTGTGTCAGTAACAGACAATAAAATTTACTTAGGTATCTTTTTAATGTCACGATTAATATATTTAAATATTTGTCTTTGTGTTGGACGATAAATAACATAAAATAATTCATTTTCTAAAACAGATCCATCTTGATTATTTTTCTGTAACATTTAAATCTTTTGAGTCTCAAGACTAATTTACCTCCCCTGCTTTTTGTAACATTTTTCAGTGACATTGTAGAATGCAGTGTTGGTGGTTTTTAAATTTTGATAAACACTAAAGGGATCATGAAACGTCAAGAAAACATGAAAGTAGCCATTTGCTCGATGCATATTGCGCCTACCTGAATATTAGCTCCACGTAGTGCTGCTTTAGTCATTGATCTCGCATGAGGAGGAATTTTTGCAAATTTGTTTAGGAATTTTTCAGCTTTTTCAATAGCCTCTTCTTTGCTTTGAGCAACTTCATCCACCAACCCTATTTTTAAAGCTTCTTCAGTTTTAAAAAGGGTTCCTGCCGTTAACGCAAATTCGGCCTGCCTACTTCCAATTGTGTTCCTCATGCCGTCTATAAGCCACATTGGCGCAGAAAACCCAATTTGTGCCTCATTCAGTCCTATTATGAAATTATTCAACATTACTCTGTATTCACATGATAAGGCTAGCATACAACCCCCAGCAGGAGCATGGCCCTACATACATTAAAAATAATTCAGTTATATACACATGGCTAATAATACTTAATTTGTACATTAACAACAGCAACTGTAGGGTATGAGCTGCCATATAATTTGATCCATACTTCTTGCAGAGTTGACCACATTTGTTTGATTTTATCTGCATTGGGTTTATGTAGCTCAAACAGATCTAGACCTGCGCTGAAGACCTTGTTTGAGGCCTAGAAGGTAATACATTAGTTTAATAAATCCTGACCATCTTTTACATTTTTATCACAGATGTTAATATTAAACCTCTGCATTTGTTTTTTTCCAGTTGTTGTAGCGTGTGAGATATTTCGGTCAAGAGTTCCAAGTTCAAACTATTTACGGAGGGCCTTTGGAGTGTCGCCGTTGCAAAACCTGATTTTTCATTAACAGTGACGTTTACCAGGGGACCGTTTGTTGAATAATTTCTGATATAATTTGAAAAATATGCCAGATTACGTGCAGTTCTAAAAGCCATTGTTAAAGTTTACACTGTGTAAATATTACTAATATCGCTAAAAAGAAACAAGTCATGATTGTTTTTATAAATATAAATGTGGGTCCAAACTTACAAAATCCCCTCCATATCTCTTTCTCTTTCATCGACCACTTGTTTGTGCGTCAATTTTGACGTCTGACAGCACACAGCACCAATTATAAGCATTTTAAAGTGCGTATTGCCAGGTTTACGTAATGGTAAACCAGTGGCGGCTCGTCAGATGAGGCAAGTGAGGCGGCGCCTCACAGCATATATCTTAAGAACAGATTGACTTAATTTATAATTAAAAAAGAGCTTTCAATGCATTTTTAGTTACAAAAATATGTTGAAATGGGAGATCTGTACATGATTTTTTATTTTTTACGCTTCCTGCTGACATTTTTCGTTGAATACCGTACGATTTATGCCCCTAGTTCTTTAACTGAAGCGGCCAGAACGTGGGTTCACTTGAACCAACGAAGTCCAATCACAGACACGGATTTCCATGGCTTAGCTCCTATACTCCTATACATGCGTTCGCTCGGAACTGAGGCGATATCTTCGGTGCTTCTCGGCCAATTTCGGCGTACTCATGAAACCATTTTTCCATTTATTTTACAGAACGGTAGGGTTGCGGGGTGCGTGGGTAATTAGCATGAACGTGAATAAAAACCCACGTGTTGGTGTTTTGTGTTATTGTCTCTTTCATAGGTACAGGTGAGTGAAAAATGAATCCCGAGTACGATATCGTCATGTTGGTTCTTGAAACGCCGTTTTCACGGCGAACCGAGCTAGAACGTCGGCAATTCATTTAACTTCCATTGATAAGCGACAGATCGTCAGTACTCCAAGTCTTTTAAATCAACTTGGTACCTACGATACATATAAATAATGGCTCTGCCGTAATATTTACACAACATCCGGGGAAATAACGATTTAAAGAATTTCATCCGAAGTGGAAAGTTACATGAAAGTTCCAAAGTACACATGTTACGCGACGATTACTTTTTCGCCACGACCAGGAAAACACTTTTCTTTCTACGAAAACTTTATTCACAAAACTGATAATAAATGTGTATAAAACTTTATTATAATATGAACGCAATGTAAAACACGACCGTCCGCGTCCGCGACTCAGGGAGTCAGGGAAGAAGAAGGTACGAGGGTGGTTCCGCCAGTGGGGTGATACTCTGGTAGCGCCATCTAGCGGCCTCGCGTTACACACATTAAAAATTTCATGGGTTTAAAACGTTTAGAAAAGGACACAACAACTATTCCCGAATCCCTCCAAGAAAGTGCTACTTTCAACAAAATTTTGACTTGTAAAAACATTGTTGATTCAATGTGTTATGGGTGTTATTATTTATTATTATTATTATTATTATTATTATTAGAACCTACCACTGACCCGGGAATGACCGGTATTCAGGCAAGATTTCTATCATTACTAACTAGTAAGACCAGGTAATATTACTATTATTGTCAAATTTCTATCATCGCCTCACCACATCAGACAGTCACGAGCCGCCACTGTGGTAAACGGTGAAGGAGGTTTAAAATAATAAACAGTATAATCATAATAATAGTAATAGTTGCTTTCTTTTTCTAAAATTATATCGATTATTTAAATAGATATACTACTCTATCAGAATTCAGAAATGATGTAAACTTTAAATCGTGTAAATCTTTTTTCTCCCGTTAATGTAAATTGGGCCATTTACATTCCTAGGACTATAATGACAGTGAATTAGAAATTTGGTATTTTATTTTCACACTTAATATACACTATTAATAATAATTTTTTGTCTAGGTATTTCCGCTCAAGATTTTTCTTGCACAATATTTTATTGGCAACATCTAAATTATTCTTAACTGACTCCGCTACATAATTTTCGGCCACTGTAGACGATTTCCAACCGCCGTGTCTTTTTAGGCCTAAAAAGTCTTCGCCAGAGTCAACCAGTAAAGTGGCGGAGAAACGCCTAAAGGAGTGTCCAATGTATAAATTGGCGTCTAGTAAATTTAGAAATCGCGCAATAACTGATGGCATCTTAGCGAAAGTATGCTTTCCCACACGTTGGTTGCAGCATTTTTCACACTGATAACGCAAAAATAAACGAGAAGAGTAAGTACCTTTTTCCAACTTTCGTAATACTTTTGGAAATTTTTTAAATAATGTTCAGTTTACCTGAACAGGGGTTTGGGCGTAGCCAATTTGTCCACCCTACTCCCACCCGTTTTAGGGTAGTTTACCTAATTTTTATTATTTCATGCTCTCGGGGAGTCGTCGAGAAGTATCGAGAGGGTAAAGACGTGCCGACCCGAGAGACCGGTAATTTTTATATTATTTGTGCGTTATTAAATAAACCGTGTAACTACGAGTAAAAGGTGATTTTATTTCGCGCAAAACATTTTGGTCCTTCGAGCCGGATATCTCGCGGAATTAGTGGTACTGTTCTCGCCTGTATCGTCGATAAAAGCTTCACGTCCAAGACAATCTTGAGCATCGTGACATTCGACGACGACAGCATCCCCAGAACTTCTGCAACAGCTTCACGTCCAAGGCAATCTTGAGCATCGTGACATCCAACGACGACATCCACGTCATTTTCAACACGACTTCGGCAACAGCTTCACGTCCAAGGCAATCTTGAGCATCGTGACATCCGAAGACGACAACATCGCCAGACTGTAGAGAACTTCTTCAGCAGCTTCACGTCCAGTGCAAGCCTGAGCATCGTGACATCTGACGACAACCAGTTTAAAAGTCCAAGACGACTTCGCCAGCAGCTTCACGTCCAAGGCAATCTTGAGCATCGTGACATCTGACGACAACAGCATCGCCAGACCGTAGACGACTTCTTCGGCAGCTTCACGTCCAAGGCAATCTTGAGCATCGTGACATCTGACGACAACCGCATCGCCAGACCGTAGACGACTTCTTCGGCAGCTTCACGTCCAGGGCAATCCTGAGCATCGTGACATCTGACGACAACCAGTAAGTGCAGTTCATTCCCTTTTTTTCATTAGTCCTGTATTTCGTATCAGTGTCAAGTAGATTATCGTTGGATCATTAGTGAACAATGACTACTGAACAACTTTCTGGTTTAAATATTAAGCGGAGAGCGATAAAACGCAAATTAACTATGGCTCAAAACTTCATAGACGATTTAAAGTCATCTAAAGAAAGTACAACTTGTTTGTCAATAATACAAGAATATTTGACTAGAACCAGGTCAATGTATGACGATTTTTTCAACATTCAAAGTCAAATTGAGGAACTGGAAATTATTTTAAAACAAACATCTACGGCAGATCAGTGTATCACTTTTGACAAGGAATGTTATACCGTTGTGTGCGAATTAGAGGCATTGGAAGCCAAATATTCAGCCAAATCTGCAAAAAAATATGATATTCCTATCGTTCAAAATAGCGCTGTTAATGTAAAACTGCCAGAATTAACATTTAGAGTAGCAGCAAAATCAACAAATAAAAACAGGAAAACAAATTTAAATACCAATTCAAACAGATCGGTAACGTGCCCATATTGTTCCGATCCTCATAATTTATTTTGTTGCGCAAAATTCATTAACCTAATGGTGATAGATAGGTTAAGGATCGTGAGGTCCAAAAAACTATGTTCTAATTGTTTTCAGAACAGTCATAAAGTTACGGAATGTAAATCATCGTATGTCTGTAAAATTTGTAAAGGACATCACAATACGTTGTTACATGTAGACAATCCCGAGCCAAACGAAATACCAAGTACGAGCAGTGAAAATAATCAAGTCGAATCAGATCAATCCATTGTTCTTAAGGCAAATTCTCAACAAGTTTATTTTAGTAAAGTACTTCCAACAGCCCAAGTACAAATTTATGGCAAATTTGGAAATAAACCTCAAGTGCGGCCACTGTTAGATAGCGGCTCCGAATTAAATTTTATTTCAGAGCGAAAATTATTAAATCTTAAATCACAACCGAACGTTTTGTCAATTGCTGGTGTCAACCGTTGTAATACTAGTGCCTCACAATTAGCAAGTATCAAAATTAATTCTAATTACCGACATTATGAATTAAACCTTTCATGTGTTATTTTGCCACAAATCTCGGAATTTTTACCATCCAGGTCATTTTCAATCGCTAATTTAGAATTTCCGCACCACAACAAATCACCAGATCCCGCATTTCATGTCAAAGGGACGATAGATTTATTGTTAGGTGCACAACCCTTCTTCGAAATTTTACAGCCTAATCGGAGATGTTTGAATAAGGATTTTATTCTACAGGAAACTAAATTCGGTTGGGTAGTGGTTAATGCTCATGGAGATAATCCGGGGGTTGTAAAACAGGGTTCTTCTTATTATGTCCAACCCGTCCTAGAACAGATGGTTGGAAAGTTTTGGCAATTAGATGAATTTAAAACTTCCGTAAAACTTCAATCGGCCGACGAAATCCTATGCGAAAAGAAATTTATGAAGGGTCATAAACGCTTAGAAATGGGAAGGTATTGGGTACCACTTCCGTTCAAGGCGGAAAACCCAAACTTAGGTACATCTCAGGAAGGGGCCATAAAACCTTTTAAATCTTTAGAATGCAAATTCCGAAAGGACGAGAATTTTAAAGTATCCTTTTCGGCAGTAATTACAAACTATTTACAACAAGGTCATGCGGAACAAATTCCTGAAGACGAAATTGATAATCCACATAGTTATTATTTACCACACCACGGTGTTCTTAAAGAAAGTACCACGACACAATTACATATTTTGTTTGACTCATCATTTAGATCATCTAATCATAAAAGCTTAAATGACGAGTTATTAGTTGGTCCAAAAATCCACTCGTTTTTATATCCAATTTTATTACGTGAAAATGTCACATATTCGAATGATCTTAAGGTACTAACAAATATTATTTTCGAAATTGAAGAACGACGTCAGACCGTCTATTCAAAGGCAGTAGTACACAATAAAGGTCAATCACCATCAGATTTATTATTAAGGTACTCATCATTTTCAAAATTAATAAACGTAGCCTTTTGTTTACGATTTTACAACAGAGTCAAATATAGACAAACTGTAAATAGCGCACTAACTGTAAAGGAAATTGAAAATAGTCGCAACGTTATTATTAAAATAGTCCAACAGGAATCATTTCCTGAGGAATTCAAGTGTCTCATAAAAGGTAATGCCTTACCAAAACCTACTCCTTTAATCAAATTAAACCCCTTTCTAGACGATAATTTACTAATTCGAGAAGGGAGGGGTCGTGGAAAAAGGTCTATAAAGGCTTATATTTGTTTGTTTATTTGTTTTGCCACCAAGGCAATTCACCTAGAAATAGTTACCGACTGTACTTCGTCAGCATCAAATTTTAAGGGAGCCAATCGCGAATTACGAGTCATACATTTCGGTGTTATTAAATCTGATGGATTTTATCCCACCTCGCTTACCACACGTTGGTGGAATTTGGGAAGCAGGCATTAAGACCATTAAATATTATCTAAAACGAGTTATAGGGCAGTCATTGTTCACATATGAGGGAATGTATACCTATTTGACATTGATCGAGGCGTGTCTTAACTCTCAACCTATAACTCCCATTATCCTCAAATCCCGACGATCTATCCGTACTCACTCCTGGCCATTTTTTGATCGGTACTGCACTTACGTCACTTGCCGAACCTGATGTGGGCGACATCGTCATCGTGCACGAGGATAACGTGCCCCCGTTGTGTTGGTGTCTCGGTCGGGTTGAAATCGTACATCCAGGTCGCGATGGTGAAATAAGGACTGTGTCAGTGCGAACCAGAAACGGGATAGTGCAAAGATCAGTGCGGAAATTGAGCCCGTTACCAATGTAATGCGCAATTGGGCTATACATGTATATATATATATTTCATTTTATTATTGCACTCTTGTTAATTTACATTTAATTCCTGTCATATAATATTAGTTGACATGTATTCATTTAATTAGGCATTTTTTGTTTCTTTATTATTATGTATTGTTTATCTCAATAAGTAGGTCATCCTTGAAGTTAGTACTTCAACGGGGGGACTATGTTCAGTTTACCTGAACAGGGGTTTGGGCGTAGCCAATTTGTCCACCCTACTCCCACCCGTTTTAGGGTAGTTTACCTAATTTTTATTATTTCATGCTCTCGGGGAGTCGTCGAGAAGTATCGAGAGGGTAAAGACGTGCCGACCCGAGAGACCGGTAATTTTTATATTATTTGTGCGTTATTAAATAAACCGTGTAACTACGAGTAAAAGGTGATTTTATTTCGCGCAAAACAAATAACCTGTCTTACTTTCAAGATTTTCAACAATTGTGAAATTTCCTGTAACGTCATTTTTGGTGTGCCGAATTGTTATAATTAGGTACGTATTTTCAGGTAAGAATTTAAGTCATTTTATCATATCTTCATTTTATGACATTTGCAAAATATATTGTAACATTTCCCAAAAAAGAAACAGTAACTTGGAGGTATTACACGGATTTTGTCTGTGTGCCTTCGAACTCTCAGTAACATCAGCCATTTCCATTTTAAAGAATTCGTCTGTGCTGCGTGCTCCTGTGATACCAACTATTATAACGGTCTAAAACAAATCAAAAAATCGAGTTTAATTTTAATAATGAAAAAAAGAAAGCGTCTTCTATGAATTTTAAAATTTCTTCTCTTGTCAATAACTGTCCCACTAGTTTTGAAAATTTCGAAATGTTGATATTATTTTGTAGTTCAATGTTGTTTTCAACATAGAACACTCGCACCATAAACTGGCTGATAATTTTAGCTGCTATAATAGGAGATTCATTAATATCTATTTTTGGATTTGTGATGACACTTTTTGAATATTTTTGCCTTGTTTGAATTTTTTGTATTTCGTAACATATGTAGTTACGCACACAGGCAACTTAAGTAGAACATAAAAGTTAAAAAAATCAACACGGGTATGAGAACAAACGTAAATTTTATGGAAATTTCGACCGCTAGCGGAAAAAACTTAATAATAAGTAACACAAAATATACAGACGTGTTAACATCCTCGGCAAGCGATGTTTCCTGAGCGTAATCGAACGAATGGTCACTTTTATGTTTTCTCGACGTTTCAAGACTCCAAAAGTACGAAAAAAGTAGTCTCCCGTTTCCGTACGTCTGTCTGTCTGACGTCTGTGTTGATTTTTGTCAGGCACATAATCTCCGAAACTACTGGACAGACTGTTGTCAAATTAAGAACGAGTCACCCCATTTTATCGAAAAGATGAGAATACGCACATCTTTATTTAATAAAAGTGATATAATAATAATATTCAAAACATTCTGTTCGACTGTGGCTTAATTAATAATTTTAGTCCTCTGTTTTAAGCCGACAAGCTCATTCAAATGAAACAAATTTCCAATGATGTATAAACAAACACTTGAAGTTAAAGCTTGTTAATGAAGGCAGTCGACTAACTTCATTAAAAATTGGAATAGTTTTATTTATTTTATTTTTTTAGAAAATTCGTACTTCTTGGACTCAATAAAAGTTGTCAGAACTCGTAAAAAATTATGTAAACTAAGCGTGTGACAAAAAGAAATTGGAAATTCGTAGTAGAAAAACCATTGACACCAGTTAAAAGTTTACATCATATAAATCCCTATTTCGTAAAAAAAAACACACTGTAGACCAATCCTATGCCATGAAAAATAAACACTGCATTTCCGTTATTCCAAGAACGATAGATAAAAAACAATGAGATTATAATTTTTACATAGATTTTCGCATTTTTTGGGTCTTAGAATATAAATGTGAAAAATTAGCCGCTATTGTCAGATTCATTGTGAACAATTTTGAATCCTTTGCTCAATATACAACATGTCCTAGAGTTAGTGCGCCATTTTTAAATCACCCTGTGTACCCATTTGGATGATAATAATAATCAATAAAATAAATTTTAATAACAGTTAATATGCACAGTGTTACGGTGGGGGGAGATGGTTACACAAATTTTGCTTAAAGTTTTACCTTTCACATGTTTCATGTTTTTAAAATATAATAATCGGTCCAATAGTTTTGGACATTGTCTGTATAAAAAAACGGGTACAGAAGAGAGACAGATAGACAATAAACTGACAAACTAAAACTCGGGATATACTTTTTCGTACTGTAGGAATGATGAAACGTCGAGACAACAAGAAAGTAGTCGTTTGACGAGTGGACCGAGTGAAAAAAAATGTCACGATCTGAGTGGGATTCGAAATCATGTGTCCCACTTGCCGAACGGGTGTACTGACCACTAAACTATCAGAATGGGAGATTATCATAAAGAATTGTGAAATAAACTGGAATGACTTACTAACGCTGAGTTGTTGCTGGTAGACCCGGTGCTTCCCGAACCTGGCAGCTACTACATTTCCGGTGTACTGGACCATCACAACACTTCAGTCTACTTGAAACTGCTTAACCACCTTCATAGACTAACTGAGGTTCCAGGTACTTTGCGTTTGTCGGCTAGGTACTACCCCTACTTGTGTGAATCAAAAGTTTTTATAAACTCAGCTAGTCATGTGATTTAGCATAGTTGTGAAGCCTTGACAGGAATTCTTTAATTATGACTGTTTAAACTTTTTTGCAACTAAGATGAAACTTCGGACTCGCGTCGTACACAACTAGTTACTTTATATCATGCTTTTACTACGTATAGGTGTTTCACAACAAAACATTAGCAATAAACCATGATAATATGGCATGTAAACTGTCCACACTTGTGAAACAATTTTGTTGTACGTTCGGATTTATCGTTTTAATAAACTGCGCCATGTAGGAGGTGTTACTATAACTTGTTTACGAAAGTGAAGTTAAAGAAAGCGAAGGAAGAATAAGTAAGTTTTGTTAACCCAAACATCCCGCCAGAATTTGACATGTAAACAAATTCTGAAAACCCGTGAAAATGTGGTTTCGCGCCGTTGTTTTTTCTCAGTGCGAAACTTTAATTCAAACTGGGGCACCACAAACTACAACAGAAAAATCATTTTTTTAATATATAAATAGACTATTTGAATATCTTGACATTGATATATTTATTAGCTGTTGTGATACACAGAGTAGTTATGTGTTTACAGTAAATAAAAAAAAAACATAATTCACATAATCTATGCAAATAACATAACAAGTTGGTAACGCAGAATGCGCACTAAAGTATGTCCCACCACCGCCAGAACAGTACTGCTAGTAGTAGTTAATCACACTTAACTGTTCTTTATTTTTCTATGAATACAAAAAAAAGCGTTCATACTCTAATAGCATGTGCATTTCGTGTATATTACAATTATTTAAACTACTTAGACAATTTATATCAAACTTGGGTAAACGTAAAAATATAAAATATAACATTATCCTTTATGACAAAATCACTTGCTTGATTTTTGTTTTACTAACTCTATATATTTCCCAACTGTGTCCTGAAATTGTGGATCAGTAATAAAATCTACGTAACCCTTCACTTCTTTATCTTTATTCCTAACGAGAGCCTAGAACAAAGAACGTACGTACAACTTATTATGACTTACGATGGTAATACACAAATTATTACCATGGTGTGGCGACAAATTTAAATAAAACAGTTGAGTACAACAGTACCTATGTGAGGATCTATTTACACTGATCATGTAGCTACAACATCCAACGTGCGATTAACACTCACATTCCTCGCGAAGGAGGCAGCCAGCTAGACGGCCTGATTCACGACGGCAAAAATCCGGTACTGTCAGTTTTAAAACTTTCGTTCTCTCAATTTATGTTACACTTACCTGAATGTTAGCTCCACGTAGTTTTGCTTTAGTAATAGATCTCGCATGAGGAGGAATTCTTTTAAATTTATTTAAGAATTTTTCAGCTTTTTCAATAGCATCGTGTTTACTTTGAGCAACTTCGTCCACCAACCCTATTTTTAAAGCTTCTTCAGTTTCAAAAAGGGTGCCTGCTGTCAACGCAAATTCGGTCTGCTTGCCTCCAATTGTGTTTTTCATGGCGTCTATAAGCCAGGTTGGTGGAGTCAACCCAACTTGTGTCTCATTCAAACCAATTGTGAACTTATTCAACATTATTCTATATTCACTTGCTAATGTTAACAAACATCCTCCAGCAGTAGCATGACCCTACATTAAAAATAATTCAGTTTCATACACGCAGCTAATAATTAATTTGTACATTAATAACAGCAACTGTTGGGTATGCGCTGCCATATAACCTAATCCATATTTCTTGCACAAATGACCAAGTTTGACTTATGCGATCTGAATTGGGTTTATGTAGTTCAAAAATGTCTATGCCTGCGCTGAAGACCTTGTTTGAGGCCTACAAGATCAAAAATTAGTTTAATAAATCTTGACCATTTTTAAAATGTTATCACAGAAGTTAATATTAAACCTCTGCATTTGTTTTTTTCCAGTTGTTGTAGCGTGTGAGATATTTCGGTCAAGAGTTCCAAGTTCATACTATTTACAGGTGGGTTTTGGAGTGTCACCGTTGCAAAACCTGATTTTTCATTAACAGTAACATTTACCAGAGGACCGTTTGTTGAATAGTTTCTGATAGAATTTAAACAATATGCCAGATTACGTGCAGTCCTTAAGGCCATTGTTGAAGTTCACACTTAATAAATATTACAATAACTGCTAAAAAGAGATTATTTGATCAAACGTGAGAAAAAAAGTATATTGACCTACACGGTTTTTTCTGCACGCTAAATTCTCACCAGTATGTAAAATTAATGTTTCCTATAGTGTTAGTTACCACATTGTCACCTGTCCTGAGTGGCAAACGGAACTATATCACACAGAAAATACATCAAGGACCCCATAAAAACTGATAAGTAACGATAAAAATTTGCATCGCAAATTTTCGGTACCTGTTGTCCGTTCCACCTTGTCCTTGGAAGCGCAGAAAACGCTCTTCATGCAGGACAATTCTCGGTGAAATTTGTTATCAAAAACCTACCGATTTCTGAAAAAGTCGATCCATGAACCTTTCGATTTTCGATTCGATTTTTACGTACACATTAAAATTAAAATAGGTTTTTTTGGTCCTTATCATGTGATTTCATTTCATTTTTCATTTGACGGCATTCGGCATTTGAAAAATATAAAAAATAAGAAAAAACATTTAATAACTTAGAGAACCACGCATTTGTAGAGGAATATAAACTTTAGGACCATCAGTTAAATTAATATCATGGACTCGACTTGGGCGGTGTATTTTATGTTTATTTTATACTACTTTAATGTGTTATTTTCTTACATCCGAATTATTTTCTCACAGCTTGAATTTGAACATTTATTCTCGAACTATTATTATTGTTTTATGTTTTTATGATACGGGGATTTGTTGAGTCATGATGTAATCTTAATGAACTGTTCTGATTTAATAATTAACTTGAATGAATGTATACTTTAACCTCATGTGAGTTCTTGTTGTCCGAAAGTACTGTGAGAGTGTGGCGTAATTAAATGTTGCTTGTTTCATTTCGTATAAATGTGATGCTCATCCAATTATCGTTAAAAATTCGAGAAAGATACACAGTTTTTTTTAAATTTTTAATGGTGGCGAAAATTACATATGCGACGTTCGATTCAACACTCGCATTACTGTCCATCCTCGCAAAGGAAGCAACCAGCTAGACGACCTCATTCACGGTGGCGGAAATCTGATACTGCACATAAACATTCACATGAACAATGCCAATTAAAACAAAAAACCTGGGTGTGGACCCGTCATTCGGCGGTGTCGAGACGATTTATTTTTGTTTATACAATTACCCTTAATTTTAACACGTGTTGACACTCATAACACCAATACAAGAAGTGGCGCGCCAAAAACAGGAAGTGAGTGAGTGTCTTTTTAGAATTCTACCTGCCCCTAGAACTACCAATCTTAGGGTGACTTTTACGCTATTCCCCCAATGGCACTAAAACATGGGTGATTGCCTGCCTACGTTACTGAAATATTTTTTTTATTTTTCAAATGGGGTTAGGGCAGAGATATGGAGAGGGAGAATGAGCTTCCCCATGCGCAGACGAAATCCTTGGTCTAAAATTGAAAGCAGCCATTTTATCAGTTGACTGTTGCCAACATAATCACAAATCACTAACAGAACTTGATATCCCTAGACAATTGCTTGATTATTGGGCGGGAAGTTTAAAATCATTAATTACAATCACCTAATAATAAATCACAACTAAAATATATTTCACCTTAAACGAATAAATAAACATAATTATACTTCAATATATTTATTGATGCGAAAACAGTACTAATTATGTGTACACATGTCTAACAGAAGTGCCTTGAGCAAGACATGAAAGTCTTTTGCTCAAATTAAACATTCTTATTCGCATGTAGGCATTAATTATTTGTTTAATAAGAATATATAAATGGCCTTCATCGATGGCCACCGTCTCGAGTGCGTGGGTCTTCTAAATTAGGAAAAAGAATGCTGGCATGCCGAAAGTTTTAAAAAATTGTTCATCGCTTGGAAGTTTATCGGTGAGTTGCAAAATTTTTCGTATTAACAGTAACAACAAGTCTTCACAACCCCAGCAAAAGGTTTAATAAGCCCACCTAAAATCAAAATTTTGTTAAGACTTAAAAAATAACTATTGTAAGTATTTTATTTTACCCATGTTTTTTTTGTCCAATAATCTGTAAAACTGTGTCACTTCCTCGTGTTTCAATGCAAGAAGAAATGCAGTCTGCGCACTTAAACGTCTTCATCAGCATTTTGACAACATAGCTACCAATATATGCCACGTTTTCTGCCACTTCACTCAGCCCAATAAAATTAGACGTTCATAGTCATGATCTGCAAGTGCTTCCGTCAAAATATCGAGATCATATTTTTTCAAGACAAACACGTCAACTGATTGTTGAACATTTGTGCTCTTTTGCTTTGGGCCAATGCTAACAGAGAGCAGACAGGTGGTGCAAAGCACTTTACAATTTCCTCCTTCCCTCGTTATGTTTGTAAATAGAAGCAATCTTCTAAAAGTTTTACAAAATCGTAGAGGAGTAGGGTTATTGTTTCACCCATTTCTCGATCTGAAAATAGAAAAATAAATACAGATTTGTGTAAATCCAGTGCATAAAAAAGTAATACAATTGTTTTTTTAAAAGCTTACCGCACTGAGCAGAAGAAAATTTCTAGATGATCTTGACTACATTTATGTTAGCAAGTCATTCAACCTCTTACTACTAACAAATTCATCAAAAATTCCCATTAACGACGTAGCGGAAATAACAAAGCCCAGAATTGACGTTTTTCGGGGCGTGCACCACAAAGGCCCGCCAGTGACATCCTTCAAATTCAGAAGATACTCACTGGTGTCTATGAGAAATGGACGCCACATTTCTTCATTGTTTTCTCTCAAAGGTGCCTTAAAATTCTTAGCACATACACTTCGGGAATTGAGAATATCAAATAAAGAATCTATCCTTCTGATGAATTCTATTGTTGTTTCACAACCTTGAAAGTCACTAATACCAAGATCTTTTAAAAATTCAAGTGCATCCGCAACTCTTGCTAAGAGTTTGTGCTGCTAAACTCACCTATAATAGAACTTAATTATTGTCAATAAGGAATATTGTCAGGAAAACAACAACTTTCATTTTATGTTTCCATCACTCCAAATCTGCCTTTTTCAACTTGTTTGCAACATTTAGGAATTCATCATTTTGTAATTCATGTAGTTTCTTTATGTAACGCCAGCTTATCACCTTCCCTCCTGTCAGAACTACTTTTTGAGTTCTTGCTTTTACTTCCACTTGTACTGCTACTGCTTTTTCCATGGTATCTCTGCGCAGCACTAAATAATAATTATTAACAGTAGTAAAAAATTCAATATAATAAAATATTCAAACCTTAATGTCCTCTTTACACCTTGAGGTATAATCGATGGAGACTCTTCTCAAATATCAGCTGAAGTAGCACTCACAGTACTCATTGAAGTTGAAGAAGCTTCTAGACTTTCATCTAAATTCACACTGGGAATTGCGTTCGATTTCAATCGTTTTCACTCATTTACAACAATGAAATCTGTTGTGAAATGATCTGAGCACACCAGCTTATACTTAGTCAGTTTGAAGCTGTCATCTTTTTTCACAACAATCAGCCACTTTTTTAAAAGTTTTCGATCTTTCGGAAACCTAAAATCAGATATAATAAATATTGATCACATAGTATTGCAATAACCAATTGTTATTAATTATAAATATCTACGTATTCGATTTTAATAAGATAATGATGAAAACTTACTGATGAAAAGATATACCTTCTGAACGAAATCGTTGACAATTTTTACAGTGAGAAACTGTACAAGACATGTTTGTTGTCAATAATAATGTCCTTTAACACTAATAAGCACGTTCACACGTACACTAACGGTAAAACAAATTAAATAATAACTTTAACTCCAAATTACAACTGGTTCAACAACGTCGTAACCTCGTAGGTAAACAAAACTTTAAGGTTAACTGATAAAATGGCGGCCCCCATAGTGTACCGATGCGCAGAAGTCGAAGCTCATTCTCCTTCTCCATATCTCTGGGTTAGGGGCGTTGTTTTTTTCTCGGTGCGAAATTTAAATTTTCAAATCAGGACACCACAGTATTTTAATTTGTTTTTTAAAGGTTGAGTTTAGGTATATTCTTTTGATATTTCTTAACAACATAAATTTAATAAAAATAAAATTCTGAGAACTTTGGACAGGTACTACAAATGATGGAGATCCATTCTGTTCAAGTTTATATTTAATTTGGGATAGTTGTCCGCCTCTTGAACGTAGTATATGATTAGGAGACTAAATGGTTGTAGTTACTTTACGACATGTTTCGACTTTATTTAACGTCATCATCAGGTCATGTATATGTTTAACAAACTAGTAACATGGAAATTAACACTTGAAAGAATACAATGATAAAATTAAAATATCCGAGATTAATACAAACAAATTTTTGTTACCTACATTTTCCGAATTTCGTAATACTTTTTCAAAATTTTTAAATAAACTGTCTTACTTTCAAGATTTTCAACAATTGTGGACTTTCGTACAAATTTTTGGAGTGCCGAATTGTTATAATTACGTATTTTCCATGGTCAGTAAGATCAGCCATTTCATTTTACAGAATTCGTCTATTCTGGATGCTCATATGCTCACTACGGTCTAAAACAAATAAAAAAATCGAGTTTAATTTTACGAATTAAAAAAAAAGACTTACTTACCTTGATTAAAAGTTAAGTTTCATCTGCAGCGTCTTCTAAGAATTTTAAAATTTCTTCCCTTGTATAATACTTGTGACTTCTTCGGCCGATAACCTTGATGATTGCTTCAAAAATTCCAATAGTTTTGAAAATTTCAAGATGTCGACATTATCTTTGTAATCCAGTGTTGTTTTCAACATTGAATACTCTCGCACCATAAACTGACTGATGATTTTAGCTGGTTTGATCCATGTTCGATCTTTCCAACATATAAGCCAGCATAACGTTTTCTGATACAGATTCCACACTTTTTTTGGCACACCACTTTTTAAAAGACTCATACGTAAATTCCGTACCTCGCTCTTTATTTATTAGGTACCAAATCTGAGAACCAAGCATGGCAGCTTCATTAATATCCATTTTACGATTTATGATGACACTTTTTGAATATTTTTGCCTCGTTTGAATTTTTTGTATTTCGTAACATAGTTCCGCACACAGGCAACTTAGAACAAAAAAGTAAAACGTAATTTTTATGCAAATTTAAGGGAATTTCGACCGGCAGCGGGAAAAACCTAATAAGTAACAAGGTACATACAGATTTGTTAACATCCTCGGCAAGCAACAAGCCTCGGCTCGTACTCGCTTACCTCGAATGTTAACACGTCTTTACATTCCTTATTATTAGTTATTACTTAAATAATGATTTTAACGGAACACATTTCAGATTATAAAGGTGTTTTTTGTGCTGGGAGAATAAAGAAATATAACGCAAAAAGTATCAAAAAATCGCCGGCTTTAACTTGTTTTGAATTTGTTATGAGGTTTAACAGACATAAAAGTTCCAGTATATTAAAATTCCATGAATTTTAATTGTCTACGCATAAAAAACGAAGTTTTACATGTAATTTCATTTATTTGTTTCAGCTTTGCCTTACAATAATTCACAAAAAATATCTCTTAGTTTACACTTCTTTTAATGTTAAAAAATACACATTCACGCCACATACAACAACAAATCTGCCAATTGTGCACATCGTTTTGCTAAACCACTACAACAGAATCAGTAGAAAAATATCATATAAGAAATTGATTACAAAATAAATACTTGGAACTAAAATATACAAAACCTAATGAAGAGAGTATAGAAAAAGGAATGTTAATAAAGAAATTGCACCTTAATGTTAGGCAGATATCAATTTCACAACCAGTCTCACAAACCCTCCTTAAATGGAGGTACAATTAAAAAAAATATTTTAGGAAGTTCAAATTGAATAGGTACCTACACGAACCGAGTGCCAAAACAGTCGCCGTAAATTTTGATATAAAAAATCGGTATAAATGATAATTTAGAAATCACGTTAGTAATAAAACTAAGTACCTAAAGTTTATAACTCGTCTTTCCTAGGAGAGTCATCATCTTCCGTCTCTTCTTCTTCGAATGGATCAGTTTCTTCAGCACCATCCACACCTCCAGACTCGATGAACTTGATCAAACCTTCAAAGGTCCTCGGACCGTTATACTCTATAACCTTGTTTTCACGTTTGGTATACAGTTTTATCGTAGGGAAGCTCGTAATTTTTGTATGCTCCAATTCGTTAGCAGTAGCATCGATTTTGGCAATGACTACCTTCTTGTGATCTTTGAAGTGCTCCCCGACTTTGTCGTAAATGGGAGCCAACTGCTTGCAGTGGCCACACCACGGAGCATAAAACTCAACCAACACGTTCTTTTTGTAATCGAACACTACGCTGTCGAAATTGCTCGCTACCAAAATTTTAACTGCTTCTGTATCCCAATCATCTGGAAGTTCTTGACTGAGCAAATGCTGCTTGAGTTTACCAGCTAGGAAGCGTTCGACAAATCTTTTGATGCTCTCAGCTGTTAAATCATTTTTATCTGGTTTGTATTTCGCCATATCTTCTTCAAGTTTGATGAGACGGGCCGCTGGTACTTCTTCCTTCTTCATACCGAAGAATTCGAGGATTCGTTGATGGTCTTCCTCAGCTGCATCGATGGTAACGAATAATACCTGCTCTTTGAATGGCTTAGCAACGGATCTAGCGGCTTCTACTACTTTCTCGAAGTGTTCCTCGCCCTTGTTCAAGAAAAGAAGAAGGTGGCTCTTGATGTCGCCACCGAAGATTTTCTGTGCAGTTTCGTGATTGAATTCGACGATTAGCGGTAAAGAGTTTCCAGTGACGAATTTCTTGATGTCCTTTTCAGTGGCTTCTCCTTCGAACAGCACCTTTCCTTCATCAAACTGCAAAAAAGAAGAAAACAATTTTTAATCACGAGATAAAGCAAACGTGTAAAAGTCTCACCTTCTTGAACAAAATGATATTTCCGCATTCGGCTTCATACTCTTTGAACACAGCTTCTTCCGAGGTGATTCCGAATGGATGATCGTCGATGGTAGCAGCAGCCGATAAGTACGCTTTGGCTGTATCACTAGTTTGATCTTTGAAGAAACCGATGACGGCAACATTAGCGGCTTCGATGAACTCTTTCGCTTCTTCGACTGTTTTCAGTTCTTTCGCTGGAGGTCCAGTCTTCTTCAGAAGCCATGATACGATGTCGTCGGCCTGCCTTCCACCTAAAGAATCGTTAAATACATTCTTGATGGTGTAATTTTTTTTTCTTACCGTTGTATTCTACAGGCGCTTGACTTCTGAAGAATTTAAGAGTTGGATATCCTCTTACTTGATATTCTTCTGCAAGTTCGGTTTCTTCTGTAGCGTCGACCTTTGCTAATTTAATGGCGGATCCTTGCTCGGCGAGAGTTTTTGCGGCTTTTGCATATTCTGGGGCTAACGCTTTACAATGTCCACACCATGGCGCATCTATTATGAAGATATTTTATTAGCAAGTGTTGGACAAACATAGAATTAATCAAAGAGCATTTTGAATATAAACATTTAAGGTGGAACGTTAGACGAGAGGTAAGTTTGAATTATGCGCCCTAAATGACACCAGCAATTCTTTCTAAAATCTAGTAAAAGGGATAGATAAACACTTTAACATAGTTATTGATCTCATAATATGAAATTAATATATAATGAGCAACAATGTTTGCTTATACCGCAAAAAATCAAAGTATCCGAACAATAATAGAAATATTCTTCATTTGGACTGTTAAAAAATACTGTATATGATTGTACTTTGCTGTAGCTATGAATGACTTTCTAATTTACACGCAGAGATACATGCACGTAATTACATTCATATTTTATTATATAATGAATTAATCATTCCTGCACGTTATGTCAAGGATAAAACGGAATACAAAATGAACTTTTTGAGTAAGCGCATCTGTTGTGTTGTAGTTTCCTACCTCAAAGTCACTTTCTGCAAACTTTCTGCTACTGTAATGGAGATTTCCTAATCCAAAAATAAATGGGATATGTACAGAGGAATGCACACACGTCTTTGTTGCTGCAAATTTAATGCAACTTTAATAATAATTAATGGAAACAGATGGCAACGAAAATTTGTATGTTAATGTGAATAGCTCAGTGAGCACAGGTTTGTCTATAATAAAATTTTTGCGTAGGTACGCTGTTTGTGTTTGCTATTAAATGATATGAAATTTAAGAGCGTGTACAACAATATAAATATCTGCAAACATACAGGTTTCCCAAAGGTGTACACTCTAATATATGGAACAATAATTATTACAAAAGACTTAAACATTTTTAGGGTGTGTCAGGTTCAAAGTCAGTTATTTGCTATTTAAAAAATAAAGTTTTATATCTATTTTTGTAATCAACGTGAAGTAATATTATCTCCGGACAAATTGTTACCGTATCTTTTATATCATAATCTCACCTAGGGTTGATTGCTGATTGTCGTGATAACCCATTCTTATCGGATAAATTGTATAAGAGATAATACTTTTCATGGATTGCAAAATTTACACACTTGAATAAATATTTTTTAAAAACGTTGCACATTTACCTTAAAGTGAGTCATCTTTAACACATCATATTTTAGATTTTCTCCCGCTTATTGCAGTTTAGAATATAAAAATTTCCCTACATGATAAAAACTAATGATAATAATTGCCATAATTCTACGTATAGTCAAAAGTACGTAGAATACATATTTTTGTTATCTTCGGCTTCCGTCAAGTACATCGACATCACTAAGAAACTCCAATTTTGCATTTTCCATTTCTGTATAAGGAACCAAGAAATTAATTCAATGGAATTCAGTGGAGTCCGTCATTAAGTAAAGTTCAATTGTCAATCCGGTTTGTACTTAATTGTAATACGCATTGTAATTCAAGGTGTATAGTAATAATTGCGACTTAAAAACAAATAATAAAATGCAAACTGCAATCATTGTTAAAAACGAAATAGAAATCAATAAATTTAGCTAGTTATCGAATTATAAAGTGTACAGAACATTTGAAGGAAATAGAGGTAAAACAAGGAAGTGATATTCAAAATTTAAAAATAACTTAATTAAGCATGTATAATTCCCCAAAAATGTCAATATTTCTATATCCTGTACAGATTTAAAACCACTGCATTACATATTACACTACACTGTTATTTCCACGTAAATTATTACTTACATAAACTTTTGTTTTTGTGACATTTCTTGTTTTGATCGTTCATCTAATAAAACTGTTAACCATTATAGTATTTTTTTAACGATCGCATGTTTTTTTGGATTCGTACAAAGAGTATTTTGGAGCATGCATCTGGAATAAAAAAAAATAAAACTTATTTCATTACTAGTCAAATAGTTACTTAGATTAGGCTATGTACGAAGAAACCAGATATTATCAACATGAAACTAAGAAAAATTGGTTAAAACTACATCAGGATTTATTCCAGATTAAAATCAGCACTTTCATATTTTTTCAAAAGTTAAATTACAAGTGATGATCATTTATGCTTGAATCTTTAGAAATAACATGTATAAATACAGGATAGAATGGAAAAGTTTTTCTTAAAAAAAATGTTCACATTAGATGCTCAAATTTAATACAAACCCAAAGAAAATTCGTTAACAAAAATTACGATTCTTTATAAATTGGGATTTTTTTAAAAACTGTAAATTTGTTGTACTGTACTGATAATATTATTATTATTATTAACTGTTAAAAAACTTGGGCTGATCTTGGGAAAATTATAAAATTTAATTTTGCAAATTTTATTTTTTAATTATAAACCCTCTAAGTTAAAAAAAAAGACATGTGTGGACTGTTATAAGTACAAGTGAAGGAGCATACTATGCCTATGTTTCAACTGAAAAAAATTTCGTGATGACGTCATCAATATTTTATCAAGGACACGTATATCAATTTGAATAAGTGTTTTGTGTCACTCTGTATAAGTAATATTAGGAAATATGAAGCAATTGATAAACCACACGTAAAAGAGCATAACATTTTGCGCATTTTATATAGGATACAGCAAAATTTGAGATGACGTCATCAATTTTTTTCGTAACATGTTTGCAAGATTTCAGAGCATTCGATTTTGGAATTTCAAAGTTAAATTGTAAAATTTTATTCAATTACCTAATTTTGATTTTTTTCCAAAAATCTGAATGCCTAGGGTGAAAAACTGCCACAGATTCATAAAAAATCTCATTGTTGATGGGTATGATCCAACAATTTTTGGTTAGCGTTTTACCATATACACGATATTCCTAACAAACATAAAATTTTCCAACAATTCAACCAGTAGTTTTGGAGATTATCTGTCTAATAAACATTGACACCGACAGGCAGACAGTTAGACGGTAACGGGGATCTACTTTTTCATATTCTAGGGTCATAAAACGTCGAAATAACCTGAAAGCAGCGACTAGGACTAGCTCAGGAAGTAATAATAATATATTTCGTATGATTAATTGATTATTAGGAAAAATTTAGGCAAGTTAACTTCTTTTAAATATCTTCTTAGTTCTTATTAAATTTTTGTTGTTTCTTGAGGAACTATTTATGGCATCTTGTAGACGAAGTAGTTAGTCTTCAATTTTTTTAAATATTTTAAACGATTTCAAAGAAAACAGTTTACTTTAAATTTGTCAGAAGACCGTAGAAACAATAACTGACAAGGTGTCCATGGTATTTTTTTTATTGTATTTAATCAAGTACAAGCTTGAAGCGTAATGTTCAACACGCCAAAAAAAATTGATCGAAGGTTATTTCGACAGAACTTCCCTCGCCCCTAAAGTACAATCCAACAGATTTTTTTTATTTCCCCAAAAATCTGGATATCTGGGGTAAAAACCACAAGTGCAAGGATATCTTATTCTATAAAATTTAAATAACATTTGCTATTGCAAAATTTCGAGAGAACGTTTTTCCATTGTTTGTAGGGACGATATGATAAATTTTGGTTAACGGTTTACCATCTACAGTAAACTCATTTGACATACACCTTGTAAAACTTTTATACTTAAGCCGCTTAACCCAAAGCACCCTTATGGCAACAATGGACAGTAATAATCCTTGCGGTTTGGGTCCATAAGGCTTAAGCAATTTGAACTATAAGGGTGGTTTAGCCTAAGCCGCTTAAGTCATAAAAATTTTACAAGGTGTATCTCAAATGAGTTTACTGTACACGATATTCATAACATACATATAAAATGTGACAACAATCAGTCCGGTACTTTCGGAGATTGTTTGTCATAAAAAAAATACAACACACACAGAGAGAGAGACGGAACCGGAAAATCTAATTTGATAAAATTCAAGGCGGATTTATCAACCACAAGTACAGGAGTATATTATTTCATAAAAATTTAGACAACGTTAAGTGTGCAAAATGATGAGAGAACATCAAAGAAAACGTCTAGAAAACATGACATTCATCCGTTGGCTTACGCTCAGGAAGTAAAAATTATTTCGACAGAACTTCCCCCGCCTCTGAAAGATAATAATCCACTAATAAGTCGATTTTTTATCGAATACCCTCTACAAATAATAAATTCTACAACATATGGATACATTATTAAGCTACAAATAAAGGATGTGTCGCGATATATTTACTTATCACGATAATCAACTCAGTGTTTCGGAGATTATCTGTCTAATAAAACTGGCAACAGTCGACAGGCAGACGGAAACGGAAAACCTACTTTTTCATATTCTAGAAGCTATGAAATGTGACAGAGATAAAAAATTAGACACAACATTACAGTTGTGAACATGTAAATTATAGATGATGTCAGTGAAGTAAAAAAGTTCCTAGTATAACAACGAAACAAAAACATCGTTTTTTCTCGGATAATCGACGTGTACGTGATATAAAAAGCCACAAGCTATGGATGAAGATAACCGCTGAAATCTGTCGCTAAATTAGCAACTTCTTAGTATTAAATTGACATACGCGCGATGCTGTTTATGATTCAGAGGCGCGGGAAGTTCGCCTTCAAACTTTTTTAATGAAAAATACCATATTTTCGGGAGAAAAGTTGTTTAGCAACCATGGAAATTTAATGCTAAAAATTATGTTGGCAAAACCAAAGCGTTTCATATTCGATCTGACAGTTATGGCCAAGTAACTGTCAAATAGCTGCAATACCAACATCATTATTTTAAAAATAAAGTTCATGGCTTATTGGGCAACTTTTTTTTAATCAATTTTCAAATATTTCCCATAATTGTTCAGGCAGGGTATAACATAAATTAATTTCATTTTTGGCGTTATACATATGACTGGACTATGACGACAATAAAACGGACCAATTAAACTAATATAACACAGTTAATTATCTAAGTGGAGTCAACACATCCATTTATATACTGATAACTTCTCTTAATGCAAATGTGAAATTTGAATAAAGCACCAAAGGTATTTCATTCACACAGTTAAATGAATACCATTTATTAAACTGTCACCATAAATAAGTACTTGAGGTATTATTAGCCAATATCTGACCCATTGAGATTATTTTGTTATTCACTATAGTCTGATGTGGCATTTGGGAAAAAGATTAGAGAACCTATAGCTTTACGTGGCCACTTATTTATTACATTTTTTATAAAGATAAATAAAAAAGACTTTGACCACTAACAACCCTTATCACAAATGATTATTAATTTCGAAATTGTTACCGTCTGGGTCACGTGCGAAATAAAATGTACCATCCTTACACGTCATTCTTTACACGTAGCGTCATATCAACGATAAAAATGTGAAAATGGAAACTACCTTAATATTTTTTTTTAATTAATTTTTTGTAAAATAAAAATGGGGTCTGGGTTGCACCACATAAGATCACCCCAAGTGTTGATAATAATTTCAAGTTCGTTGAAATGAAAAAAATTGCAAAAAGCTCCACAAAAAGTGACAAAGAAGTGAAAAACTCGCCGGTCGCAGACAAAAATGACGGATGTCTTGAACTTCTCACACGTACAGATTGCTCACGCGGCAACCAAGCGTACAGAGGGTTGATGACCTCAAGTTCATAAAGTTAAATTTCACCTCAAAAACATGATTTATCGACAATCTTTAAAAAAAAATCAAACCGGTACAGATGGAAGCGATCATCAAACCGAGAAAAAATTCAAACATGGCCTTAACATCAACGCCGTGAAGTTAGCCTTCGGTTTTTTTTTAAAGCAAGCTATATAATTTGTAATTTCGTTTCCGGCTCATTAAATTCCCACATAAAGCACAAGTCTCGCCGAAACAGCGATAACAGTGTAGGTGGATACTCACAAAATTCGACGAGGATGAATTCGTTGTGGATGATGGCTCTCTCGAAATTGTCTTTTGTTAGCACCAGAACGCCGTCTTCAGTTTTAATTTCTTCGTTGGCGAACGCGAAAGATGCCGTAGCAATTAAACAAAAAGCCGAAAGAACATACATCTTAATTTTTAATGAAACTCACTCCCTTATTAGCAAACGTCGACTGCCCGACCAACATGAAGTAAGAGGCGTACAGTGATGCTGATGACAGCACAACGTGGCACAAATCGTGGGGCGATTTGATTGGCTGCAAGTGACGTTTCTCAGTTGTCAGACATCTGTGACGTTTACACAGGAATCAAAAATAAATCTTGGGATCTCACCCTTGAATATGAGCAGTGCTTTTATGTAATGTTCGAATTAGAATTTTCTTCGCATTTTCATTATAAACACAACACTTTTCCGTGTGAGCTGGTGCCGGACTGACTGCGGATTATCGACGCGGCTAAAAATATGCGTTCGGTTCTTTCGACGGATTAAGGTTAGTTTTTGAATGGCGGTTTGTTTTTTGTTTTGGGGTGTGTAAATTGGATTTTTGAAATATGTCGACAACACCCATTTTGGATTTTTTTTGAGGTATATTTTGGAAATTTTACCGTTATGAGCTGCAAGTGAAAAACACCGGTTATCATATTTTAAAACACCTGTTCGTGTTGATTTTCATTATTCACACTTTTATGTTGTTTGCGCATTTATTGAGCAATATATTTTATTTTAATTTTTTTTTTTTGGAAATTTTGCTATTTTGAGCTACGATTGTGAAAAACACCGGTCACCATAATTTAGAACACCTGTTCGTGTTGTTTTTCTCTATTCGCACATTTATGTGGTTTCTGCATTTATTATGTAATATTTTTCAATAAATGAGCTATAATTAAGTAGTAAAGATAATTTTTAAAGCCACTGATTAACCGCTGAAGGTTATCATTTCAGTTTAAAATATTTTATCTCTTTACATTAACATGAATTTATTTTTAATATATGGTTTATTAATAGGGACCATACCCATATCGTTTTAGAAAAATGTCCCACTTTCCTATTTTTATTTTCGTAGTCCACTCATAGTTACATGTTACATCACATAGAAGAACAAGACATGATGAAAGAAAAAATGATTCAGAGCAACCGCACAATAAAATGTCATATATCAGCTGCTATAAGTACACTCAATTAAAGTTAAAAGCCACGTTTAACGCAAATTGCAGTCATTTCGACTTTCATTTTTCCCGTTTCCATAATGTCTTTCTGTTGACAATGTATTGGGTAAATCATGTCTGAAACTATCGAACCGATTACTTTAAAAAACTAAGCACAAGTGGCTGTTTATACTTTCTAAAAAGGATGGCCTCATTTCAAAATAGTCTTATTACCAAATGATATTACGAAATTTTACTATTTATCGTAGATATTATTTTAAGATTTCCTCGGAATTTTCATCAGATTTAATTTATTTATGATTACAGTAAGTTTATTAAAATGTATTGAACCACTCGTTTCGGAAATTTGTTGAACGTTACCTCACAGAATTATTAAATACATTTTCAATGAAAAAGACCCCCAGAGGTAAATACTGTTTGGGTTTTAGTAATTAAATGTATGTGTTATAATTGCTTGCTTAGTAAAACATTCATTTATCGTATAACCGCCTATCTGAATAATTTTTAAAAATTCCTGGAGTATTGTAATATTATGTTTAGTATGACACTTTAAGTATCATTATTAATTATATTATTATACTTGAATACTTTCTTGGTAAAATGGTGTCACATTTCCTATTTTTGGCCACAAAGTTTATATAATAACTTATTAATTTCTTAATAGTACGTATCTAGTAATCGATTGCCAGACAAATAGTTAGTAAATTTGAAATAAATAGGTACTTTGTATAAATAGATAATAGATATTTCGCAGACAATTTAAAGCTTTGAATCTTTATTATTTATAATATGTTCTCTTTTTTTGTTTCTGACTCATATTTAAAAAAATGGATGTCTCAGTTTCCATCTTCTTGTCGGAGTTTATGAGACTTGTCAATTTCATGTTTTCTCGACGTTTCATGACCGCTAGAGTACGAAAAACATGGTTTCTTGTTTCCGTATGTCTGTCTGTGTCTTTTTATATTAGAAAGACAATCTCCGAAACTACTGGACCGATTGTTGTCAAATTTTGTATGTACAGGGTGTTCAAAAATGGCGCACCAACTCTGTGCACGTTGTTCACGACCATTTATGGAACAGAGGAAAAATAATTAAACAAATCCTTTCGTCCAAATGTTGAAGATATAGCCTTTCAAAGGTTTTTTTTTCGAAATTTCACCATATTTTAATTGACTACTTTGTGTTGAACATTCATTATTCAAAATAATTTTGGAAACATCTTGTCTTTATCCATAGATTTCTTCATTTTATAACTTTACAAAAAACGTTAAAAATGTTTATGATGAATCTGACGACAGTGGCTAAATTTTCACGAAAAAATAAAAAAAGTGAACGTCAAATTTTTTAATGATTTTTCTGAAACTTAGACTTGTGAATTTAATCATGTATCGTTGAGTTGGCCATTTTTTGAACAGCCTGTATATTAGGAATATCATATAGATGGTAAAACGCTAACCAAAATTTGTCTAATCATCTCCACCAACAATTTGATGATGTTATCTCAAAATGGTACATGGTAAGTGGGTTTTAAATGTATAAATCCGTGTTGAGTTGTTACCAGACATCCAGATTTTTGAAAACAAAAAATCAAAATTGTATAACACTATTTTGCAATTTAGTTTTGAATCTGCAAAATCGAATGCTTTGAAATCTTTCAGACGTTTTAAAGTTATCGTAAGTATGGTAAATTTTTTAACAAAATATATTTGTTTATCTCCCCAAAAAAATTGATGACCTCATCTCAAAATTTTGACGAATAAATCTTATATAAAATTTACGAAATATGATGAGTTTTTACTTGTGATTTATCATTGCATTAATATTTTTCGAACTGGTTATACAGGGTGACTCAAAAAAAATAATGAATGAGTCGATTTATTTTATTGATTATATCAGAAACGGCCTGCTCCATTTTCCCGAAAATTTGGGAATACAATACTGTAAGTGTTAGTTTTACACTGCGACTATCATTATCAAATTGATACACGTGTCCTTGCAAAAATGCTGATAACGTCATCACAAAATTTTGTAAAGGAAAAACTCATTTGAAACATACGCATAGCACGCTTTTTTAATTTTATTTAGACATTATATGCGTATCTTTATTTTAACTTAAAAGGGTTATCATAAAAAAATTAAATTCGTAAAATCAAATTTTGTAAAAGGGAAATTCTGTCGAAATAATCTTTGACTATTTTTTTTTTTTTTTTAATAAAATAAGTACACTACTTTATACTTCTATTACAATTTATCTCACTGATTGTACAGTAGACATTATGTGAAAGTTCTTAGGACGTTAACCCATACAATTATTAAAAAGTACGGTGACATTTCTGTAACTTTTAAATTCGTATGTAAATTTTCCAAGATATATGATAATAATGTACGTTTCGTTTTGGTTTGATAATTATTTTTAAATTGGTAATTACACTTTATCGGAAGAATTAACATGTACTTTGAGTGAGTGTGTAGTTGAAAGTTGGTGTATTTTGTATGTTAATTTGACGTCAGAATACGTTAACTATATATGTTAATAGCGTATTTTAAGTTAATAAGATTAAAATCAATGCGTTATTTACAGAAAAGATTAAAAAAAAATCTATTTTAACGCTACCACAGTTCGTTATTGAAATATATCTGACTAAAATTTCTAACAAGTCCATTATGTGACGATCTCCACTATAAATAATAAAATTTGATAGTCCAAACATGTGCATTTTGTGATGAGATCATTTCTTTCAGGGGATCTCTCGTAAAATCGCCGGCGGACAGATGATAGACAAACAGACGGGAACGGGTAACGGTAAAAAATATATAATAATAACAAAAAATATATCAGCTATATCAGCCATTAGTAATTTTAATATCAGCGTCTTATATAGCTTCATATAATTGTCACTGGTATTAATGGCGTTGAAAATTAAGGTTCATATATCTATCATTGGGATTAATGACGTTATTAAAGCAGATGGGCCATATCTAAATTAATATATAATTATTTTTTGTGAAGTGTAGCTTTAATATGTTTTTACGATATTTTGGGAACATGATTTGGCAGCGAAGTGTCATTAATTCGGTGCTTATTTGTTGGCCGAACCAAACAAAATAATTCAGTATTTTGTAAAACAAATATCGATAAAACACGCTCTTGTTAATCTCGCAATAACTTACTGATAAAAAACATTTAACTAGGTAGTTAATAATTATTGTTACTTTTCTTTAATTATTCAAGAGTAATAACATTTTCTTGTGTGCAGTAATTATAGAAGTCGGTGCAACGAGGTGATGAGCACATATTGTTTGTTTTGCTTTGCTTTCTTTTAATAATTCTAAATAAAGGCCACTTATTTTTGTAGTTAATCTAACAAAACAACGTAAGTTTTTTCTAAATTTGTGCATCGAAGCTTCCTACTTAATTTATTTAAAATTTTTCTCTCTATTAATCCACATCTTTCGAAAACTCTCTAGCAACGATGTGTGTCCACTAGTTTTAATTCTTCAAGGCTTGTAGATACAATATTAGGCAAATAAAAAATTAACGAACTGAAAGTGGATAAGTGTACAGTTTATGAGTTAATATAGCAGTTTCACCAGGTCCTAGAAACCCTTGGAGGATAGCAATGGATGAGGAAGTTTGTCAGGTATCCTCCGAACTTTACACTGAACATGATTATGGATCGTCGTCTAAACCTATGATAAATCCAAAAAGTAAGTAGCTACCGGACAACACCAACCCTTGTCACTTGTCACTAAAAGCAACTGTATTTATTCAGATACGGTATCAAAATTTAAATTTAAATACCCACCGCCGCCGCCTAAAGTAGATTCAGATGGCGATTTAATTGTTAGAAGAAAGAAAAAAAATGTACGGGAAAAACTAGGCGTAATAGAAATTGGTAACTAACGTACCCGACACATTAAAATTACATTACATTGTTTTTATTTAAGAACACAGCAAAAGCACAGTATTAGATTTAGTGGGGCTACAAATATGGCGAGGAGCACTTTTACTGGCAGACTGGCTTTTATATAACCGGGAGACATTTAAAGAAGGTCATTACATACTAGAACTTGGTTCAGGAGTGGGATTAAGTAGTATAGTTGCAGCCATGTTTACCCCCGTTTTTTGCACTGGTAAAATCTACCCATTAAATAAGTCACAAACTATGTATATAAATAATTTACAGACATAAATAAAGGCGGTTTGTTGAAACTAATCAAAGGAAATGCCTTGCGAAACTCTCACTTAACCAAGCATCCGATTACCGTCTTGGAATTAGACTTTTTATCACAGGTTCTACCCAGGGAAATCGTCGCGACTTTAGAGAAAACGCCAATTGTGATAGCTGCCGATGGTGAGTCGTTTAATTATTTCCGTTCTAGAAGGTGTTGTGGTTTATTTTAGTGGTTTATGATAACGTTATTACCCAAGCTTTTGTGAGAACGATGGGCCATCTGCTTTCTAAACCTCCGAAAAGATCTATTTATGTTGCTTTAGAAAAAAGATTCGTTTTTACAATTGCTGACTGCGATGCAGTTGCACCTTGTTACGAGTATTTCGTCGAGTGCCTTCAGAAGCTTGAGAATATCGAAATGGAGGAAGTTCCACTGGATTTTCCACAGTATTTTCAATATGACAGGGTCAAGGAGCTAGTTTTATGGAAGATATCGTCGACTTTTGAGGACGAAATTTAAATTTCACTCGTTTAAGTATTATAGACCATAGATTATGTTATTTGTAAAAAGACAGGTTTCATTAAATGCCACATTACTCTAAACAAACACACTTAATAATGTAAAGATTTTATTTTAAAATAAATATAAGTTATCGATTGGCCCTTTGCTCATTAGATGTTCCTTTCTCATCTCTTTGTTTCGTAGTTGTTGATCTTGTTCCTTCTTCAGAGGTTCCATGGATTCGCCTAAAACCGATCGAATTTATTTGGTAACAACAAAAGTTGAGATAATGTACAAAGAATGTCCTCTCCGTTGAAGTAAAGAACCGTAACTTGATTTGTGAACTTAATAGATTTCGTGTTTTTAGTGTAATATTTGTAAGTTGCGGCGAAGTCTTCTGGCTGTTCGACTTTTTCGTGTACGAACTCTGGACAATATTCCATAACCAGGGGAAGCTCATCTTCCGGAGCGTTAGTTTTCTTCACCTAAAACGCGGTAATGCGTATACTGATACGAGAAATGACACATCTTACGTCGACGCAAGGTTCTTCTATACTTTTTTTCAACATGCTAGTACTAGGCATGTTGTTTTCACCTTCATTGCTTAAAGATAATGATTTGAATTTTTTCGCCAAGCAAGTTTCTAGCTGAGCAGTAAGAAGGTTGCAATTGTATTTAAAGTAACGTCTAGTGCTACTACCTACCTCTGCCATACCACCTTCATTACTGATGGGATCGTTGTCGTAATTAAGATGGCTTTTTAAAATGTTGAATTTCCGGCCTTTTCGCAAGTTGTCCTCGGATTTCGCGTTGGATTTGCCGTCCTTATTATTAGCTTTGTGGGTTTCTAATTTTACCGATTTGACTTGAAGTACTTCTAAATTTTGAAAATGACGTTATGTAGGAGATTATACTTATTTTGTGACAGAAATCTCACCGGGAGTATTACCGAACTTGTTTTTTTTACCATTCTTCTTGTTTCTGTTACCAGACATTTTGAATTTTTTTATCCTAATGTCAAAAGAAAGGAATTTTGACACGTTTTTGAAGTCAAGGAATTTGATGCATTTTTTCAGTCTGTCTGCCCAACCGACCATTCGACAGATTTCAGATCATGTTTGGACGGTTACTAACGAAAACTCTGCAACGGACTACTATGAATCTTTTCAACGAACACAAAAGCACTATTATTCTGTACCTGAGTTCGAACCTACCCTCAGGGAAGTTCTTTTGTAGCATGTTATCTACAAGTATGTTTGATGTTTTTGGTTGGTATAGTAAGTAGGTATTTAATAATAATAGGTTTTACACTAATCTTAAAACGGAGATTTTTTTAGTATGAGTGCTAGAAGTCTTCCAAAGAAAAAAAAAATAATAAAGAACGGTAGCATTTGGTAACCCTTAAATAAATTATGTTGTTTAAAATGAACAAAAAGTTTTTTTCTTTTTTCATTCCTGAGATCGTTAGTGAGTAATAAGTTGATGAAAATTATTGTCCATCAACCAATTAAAAATGTCTAAGGATATGTATTTTTGTAATTATTTACAATATTCGTCATTAATTTTAAGATTATAAATTGTGAAACAAAAAAAAAACATCAAAATCGAAAAACTGCTGGAGTTTCAATACACCTCGTATGTACACAAATCATTGTTACTGTACATAACCCAACCTTGTCTATGTATTTTACGATAAGGGTCACATTCGCTTAAAATTGGCATTATCATCGTCGAAGCTGTGGTTTTTTGGAAGTTCTCTATTAATAGTTCTCCAGTGTTTACATTTTTACGTAGTTTAACTACCGAGAGAGCAATAAAAAATACGATCAAAGACAGTTCTGGATTTTTTAACGTTTATGTTTGATTGTTGCATTTTTTACTCCAACTTTCAAACTGATTGTCGTCTGACCAGACGAAAATTCTAGCAAAGAATAGTCTTAAAAATTCATGGCCGTCGTCTAAATACTCTTTGTTTTTAAAATTTTTAAACTGTGAATGAGAATATATAGATTCAGTCCTTATAATTTTGTTTATTTTTTCACTAATGTTGTTAACTCTAAAAATTTCCATCTTCGTCAGATATAATCAATCATACACGATATTTGTAAGCTAACTATATAAAATTTTAAAGTACCTAATTATAAGTTTCATAGTTTCGGAGATTACCAGTGTATTTTTAATAATTCTGCAGATATCTGTTTACACTACTTTTATTTGACCTCATTCTATTTTCCAAAAAATATCAAAAAACATGTTTTATCTGACCACCAATCTTTTAATGCACAATGGATAAGCTCACCTTGTATATTACTGCAAACTATGGTAATACTTATACTCAATGGAAATTTTGTGTCCAGCCCCCTCTAAAAAATTCTTTTTAGAAAATTTCATTTGAAATTAAGCGTGGCGTGCTCTTTTACGGTAGGTTTAATAATCTACTTCACTTTTTAATTTTACACCCATTTTACCGTAAAAAATAAATAAAATTTGTGCAATTCAATTTTACTATTTATCTTAGAAAATTATACAGCGCACGTCTTTAATTTTTTTTATTATGGTACAAATATTGTATAGTATTTATAAAGCATTAATTAAAATTTACTAAACTATCCCATCCAAAAAGTGCTCTAGTAGGCCACCAAATTTATTTTTAAAATAATGATGTTGGCATTACAGCTGTGTGAGGCTTTATTTGACTGTCAAAGTCCCTGTATTAGTAATACCGGGTGTCTGGAAAATGGCGGATTTACTCTTCAGCAGAGATATGTAAGTCTTTTACATATCTCTGCTCTTCAGTGCGTTATGTACGGGAATTTTGCGAGTGGGCGGGGGGCGGGGCCTGCTAAGATAAGACTGATTTTCACAAATGACATATCGTCTAAGATAATAGAGGGTGGTTGGGGGGTCTAGTACCTGCTAAGAAAGACTAATTTTGACTAATGAGATCCCTGTAAGAAAAGAAAGGGTGATTGGGCGGGGCTAGTACCTGCCAAGATAAGACTGATATTGGCAAATGACCAACTCTCTAAAGAAATGAAGGGGTAGAGAGTATATCATGCTTTTGTCAAATCGACTGTCACAAATCTATATGAATTTACTCAGTTTGTGTCTACTGCTTTAGAAGATGGTTTGCAGATAGATGTGCTATGCACGGATTTGACAAAAGCGTTTGATCGTGTAAACCATTGTGTAGGTACTATTTAAAAAACTTGAAATGCATGGATTTTGTGATAATATATTACTCTTATTAAAATCAATGATTGTGGGAAGAAGGCAGTTCGTCGAGTATGTTGGACTTTAGTCTTTTGAGTTTATCGTAAATAGTGGGGTTGTTCAAGGCTCTAACTTAGGTCCTTGCTGTTTGTAATTTTCTTCAATGATGTTGTCAAACATCTGCATCTTAACTGCAAATGTTTCATATACGCAGACGACCCAAAGATGGTAAACATCATAAGATCTAATAATGATTGCTTAAAGCTACAGGGCAATTTTGATAATTTTATTACTTGGAGTTGTATTAATAAACTCGAAATTAATAAAGACGCAGAATCATGAGTTGGACTAGAAAGATAGATAAAATTAACTTTTATTATAATATCAATGGCGGGCTGTTAACAAAAGTGTAATGAATACAGAGATTTAGGAGTCATAATTGATTCTACTTTGTTTTTCGTCCCACATATCGAACAAATGGTTAATAGCTCTCTAAGAACGGTAGGGTTAGGGTTTATTATAAGAAATGAAACAGATTTTAAAAAAGTATTTAGTATTCAAATATTGTTTTATACTTTAGTAAGAGGCAAAGTTGAATATTGTTGCATAATTTGGATGCCTTATTATCAAGTTTATATTAATATATGTATTTTATATTAAATGTATTACGAAAAATTGCTAAATTTTAATGTTAATTAATGTTTAAGACTGTCTAATTGTATAATACCTCATGAGATAGACGTATTTTTTGACAACTTTTATAATCCAAAACTTAAACTAAAGCTATTAACTGTTTGTAAAAATGTTAATTAAGCGTATATATTTATATTTACATTACAATGTAAGTAAACATATCATATTTTTTCCTCTGTTCACTTTAAGCATCTTTTAGTTTTAAGTTGAAAATTGTCAGTTGTTTTTCCGAATTAATGCTTACAAGTTTCCACCATAGACGTTAAGTCTGTTGGAATTAAATTATTATTATTATCATTTAGCAAAATTAGTCTTATCTTGACAAGTATTGGCCCCGCCCACCCACCCTTTATTTTCTTTAAGGGTATGCCAGCAATCAATTTTATCTTAGCAAGTATACTAGCCATGCCGATCCCCTCTTTATTTTCTTAGAGAGTGGGTCATTTGCCAAAATAAGTCTTACTTTAGCAAGTACTATCCCCACCCTCCCGCCTTTTATTTTCTTAGAGGATATGTTATTTGACAATATTAGCTTTATCTTGGCATTCTTTAAGACAATAGAGGACGAGTGGGCGGGACAAGACTGAAACGGGGTCCCAAAATTAACTCAAAAACAGGTCAAGTCAGAATTTTCCAAAAATAGAACACCAAAGTCCCCCAAAATTGATTGAAATAATTTACAAAAAAAATCTCCATGAGCTCCCAAAATAATTCACCATGGGTACCCAAGAGCCTCACGAATTAAAAAAACAAAAACACTGTGGCACTCAAGATTTTTTCAAGTTCATCCAGCAACAAAACACTAGATCTCTTTAAATTTATCCGAAAATGAAGCACCAAGGGATCTAAAATTAACTGTTAACATTTTAAACGTAGGTATGGCATCTGCCACAATCAGCTTTATCTTACCAAGTAGTAGCCCCGCCCACCCGCCCTCTCTTTTCTTAGAAGGTATATCATTTGCCAAAATCAGTTTTATCTTAGCAAGTACCTACTGAGGACCAACTCTTACAGAAAATGATCAAAATTTGGAAACACGAGCTTACTTATACTTTATGCACAAGGCAGGAATTTTGAACATCTTCTCTAGTGTTTAATTCGTTATGCTTTATGGATTTTTCTTTTGTTGGTTTTGTCTTTGTTTATAATTTATAAATGTCTTTTTCTTTAAATAACAACTTGTTTTATTAATAATGGTGCAAAACGATTAATGACTGCTGATTGTTATGGTTATTGTCCTAAAAAAAATAAAAGGTGGATTTTAGTCACCATCGTTACTAAGAAATCACAAAGTAAACCGGAGGTATTGTACTCACGCATTATTATAGCTGCGTGCAGTGTTGCTAATTTTACTTTTATAAAATTACGTTTTTTTCGTAATCTACATCATAAAGATTTCTTTAATTATTTTTTTGGTACTCCCGAAACCCCCGTACATAACGTACTGAAGAGTTAATCCGTCTTTTTCCAGACACCCGGTATAACTTTTTGAAGCCGTACTTTGCACATTTAAAGTCTGTTTAAATTTTTTCCTTACACATTTGACAGTTTTGGTCACCAGAGGTCGCTTGAGGGCGCGAAATTTGAAAGATGCAAAGATCCGTAAAGGGACGTTGTTTAAGGATCAAAATTGTTAACTTATTTCAAAATTTTCGTGCCTAGAAATGCGGCCAATCATACAGGGTGAATGCTTTACGGTTATCCATCCGTAGATGCCCTGACGAGCTCTTTTCGAATTTGTTTGTTTTTGTTTTTAACCTAACAATTGACGTTCATTTCCAAATTATAAAAACCAACCACTTTTAATTTAAAACAGAAATGGTGGTAAACAATAAAAACTATTGGTAAGAAAATTTTTAGAGAACGTATTTACCAGTATGGCAAATAAAATTAACGAAACGCAATAATAATGGTCATCGTAATAGTTTTTGTGGATGAAATAAAAAAAAATAAGTGTAGCTAGAAAAACGAAAGCCAAATACCATCAGAAAACCGCTCTAAGATGATCTTTAGAGGTAAGTAGTTGAATCATGTAAGTAGAGAATTGAACATGAATTCCAACATTGAACCTTTTTACCTTTGTATGACAATATAAACTAGGTAGAAAAAGTTTACAGCAACGTATAAACGTGGCACATAGCCTGCTAGACAACTCACTAAAGCATTAACCAATGGCAACAGCATTTTCTTTACATAGGTATGTCGGTGATTATATCCTTGATGACGTGGTATAATCACTTTCGTGTTTCTTTTGGTCCAAAATACATTATAATTGTTTCGTTTCTTTGATGTATTCTGAAATAATGTGTTCCGTTCCAGTACAGCACGTTCCATATTGATTCCCCGCGACATTACTACTGAAAAATGTATATTCTAAATGAACACTGCTGGAAGTTAAACTTTGTCATTACAATACTACATATACGCATAAAATGAAACAAAACGGTGGTTAAAGGACACAAGAAGTAACGTTCATTTTGAAACGACGGCGTTTCGTGTTCATGTTAGAATTTCTTCGCGTCGAGCCCACTTAATACTAACAAATTACACATCGAATTTGCATTTTTTATTCACGTAAAGACACTTTCAAAATCTAGTTTGCTACTTCGTATTCACGAATTGTATGGCCATTTTCTAGTAAATATAGACATAACACTATTATTTAATATCACCGACAATAATTCTTTTCGAGATAACACGGTATCCAAGTAAGTTCAGTTACGATAAAGGTCACGTTTACGACTAGGATGTTGTATGTCTGATTAGTTTCAAATTTAAATATGTGCAACGCGATATCTCGTTACTATAAAACAAATATGGATAAACAACGGTGATTACTGATTACTGGAACATTTCCAGGGGAACTAATTAGACTTTTATGAACAGTTCTAATGAAACCGTTTTTTTTATGGTTGACGACTATTTGAATTTAGGGGACCTAATGAGTAAAATTTTCAAGAAGCATATATTGTATGTACATTCGTTTGCGGTAAAAAGTATACATAATTAACATTTCGCAAAGGCATTATTCAAATTAACTAACAATATATTTATTTTGACGTTTTATGTAACTATTTTCAGTCACTGATGACCTCAACATTTTATTAAAGCAAACATAAACTTACACAAGAACAGAACAGCGAAACATTTTCTTGTATATAAAACTGAACTACATAATTTTTAAACAATTATATCGTTAACAGAAAAAATAAAAAAAAAACACATTTCGATATGTAAAATGTTACATTAAGTACTAGGTTTAACGAGGATAACGAAAAAACGCTTAGTAGAATAACATAATTAGCTTGTTTTTTGTGCGTTCACACTTTAGTACTCATCACTCATCAGCAACTTGGTGAATAGTTACATCCACTGAAGATATGAAGCGGCAAAATATTTGTTTTCATAGTGCATTCTTGAGACATGATTTGCGCCATGTTAAAATACTTCGGACCTCTATATGAAAAATGTAATAGACATGCCAATACAACTACTCAGATATAAATACTGTTGCTGCTCATGTTTCAGTTGTGTTCGTAGCGGTTTGCAACCTTTATGTTTATTTCTATTCAATTTAGAACAATCATTTAGGAAGTAACATTCAAAAATCTGAAGCGTTTGAAAGAAAACAATATAATTAAAAAAGTAAATAACTTACAATATATTAAAAAACTACAAAGTTAAAATTGAACACGTACAGTATATACAGCACATAGGGAAATAATAAAATTAAACATTACAAGAATGTTGCATCAATTAAAAGTCATTGATTTAAAATTTGGGATTAATTCAATTTCCTATTTGTGCGAAACTGAACACTTAACATAGTGTCGAATTACACTATATAAACATGTCATTGCGTAAATTGTAAACATATGTGTCTTATACGCAATATCATGTATATTTGAGATTAAATTAACCCTGATATGGGTTTATAAAATTTACTAACGTGATATAGCTGACCACAATTAGCGTCTGGGACTTTGATAAAAATTATGTAATCTAAAATGAGTAATGCACATCCAAGGCCTAATTGCAATCAACTATTGTAAAATAATTATTTAAAACAATGATAGAAATAAATTCAATAGGTTACAAAATTATTTGACTAGAAGGCCAATTTTATAAGGCAGTGAATCTTTAGAAATAATTACAGTTCTAAGCTACAGACAAGCCGGCGAAAGAAAATGCAGACTTTAAAAAATTATATTGGTATACGAGTCAATAATTTATTCAGAAATAGCGTCCAACTATTTCGTATTGATTATTTTACAGTCTTGCTATACAAAATTTCTGATTATGGACAAAACAGAAGTCGGATATCACACGCATAATACCTTTTTATAACTACCTAATCTTTGTTTAGGGACGCTTCCTACTCGTCTCTCCTCCAACAGATTTCCTCCTGATGGGGGTTTCTGAAGGCGTCGGCGTTCCTTTCCTCCTCTGCATCCCCACGTTCCCTGTTTTCCTCCCAGTACTTTTGCTTGTACTGGGTTTATCACTACTTTGAATTCCATTTTTCGACCAATTGTCGATCTGTGCCTCGCGGGATTCCTTCAGAACGTTACGTATGGCTCCTGTCTCACCAGCCATTTCTTGAAGTTTCTGTATGGTCGTGTACAAGCAAACCGCACTAACCAACCCGAAGTCGAACAAACTCCCCATGTGCAACACAAAGTTCTTGTATAAATTTTTCAGCAACAATTCTTTGCCCTTATGTTGCACGAACATCTGACAAGCTAGCGGTATTTGGCAGTCTCCCACGAACCCATACTTCATCACATGCAAATTCCACATTTTCATCAACTCCTTTTCGCCTTCATTCACGTCGGTGAACTCGTCGATCATCATCATGGTCTTGTTTCGGAGCCACTCTGGATCATTCTCCCCCTCCGAATCTACATCCATCTCTTTGGGATAAATGGGCAGGCAGGTCGTTGTATGGTGATACAGACGATTATGGCCCGTGATAAATGGTCTTTGGCCGTCATATTCGCAGTCATCCAGCTCCAGGAATTCGGATAAGCTGGGTTTGGCACGTTTCGGATGGCACACCAGGATATGGGTGACTGAAGCTCTGCGAACTGGACCGTTCCTCGAAAACGCACACACCGTGGGTTGGGAGATCAAGTCGTGTGGCGACCCAGTGTACGAGCCATCGTACAATTCATTGATAGCCACATCGATACGCGCCCCCACTGATATTGGAACATACGTGAACGTGAATCGAGAATGACACAGCTTCAAGTGTTTGAGCAAGGTGTACAACTGATCAGAATTTATGCTACACCAAGGACAGTGCAAGTCCTCGCAGGCTTCAGTTTGCTGGCGGGAATTGTTATTATACACGAATTGGTACACAATTTGAAGTTTTTCCTTATTGTCATTGTTATTAACTAAAGGGATATTTTCTTTGTTCTCGCTCAAAGGGTAGAGTTTAGGGCGATCTACGTACTTTGCGCAAGCTTCCGGAGACCAATTCAACTTAAATTTCAACATTGCACCCCCTTTCATCATTAAGTTAATATTGCCACAGGTCTCTATGATATCTTTACCATTCTCCCAGCTCGAAGGTTTTTTTGGGGAAGATTTAGTCAGCGAGGTAAAATCTTGGAGTATGACGTCGTAATCACCGTCAGCTAAATAGCACCGATTATACTTATCATACACAGTTAGCTCAGCTCCATAGATTTTTTCGTTCATCATATCAGTGGTACCGTTCGATTTTCGCTTTTTCAACGCGGGTTCCTCCTCGTCGGAATTCGCTCTTTCGATATGAATTTTAACGCGGAAAAGAAAAATGTACGATTTCGCTAACGGCCCGTTCGATGGGTTGAAGGAATCTGTTGAAACACTTATTGTGGGGGCTGTCATAGGTATCTGCTGGTCGTCGGGGTTTACGGGGATTTCAGCAGTCCCAAGCGAAATCTGCATGCTTGGAGCTGAGCTATCTTTACGTTTTTTGTGGCTTATTTTTAAAAGTACTGTTTCCACCTGAGCAGTTTGAGCACTATGATCAAGGCTTTTATCACTAAACCCTAAGAATGTAATATTTATAAAACCTGGTTGTATAGTGGAATGGTCCTGTCTGGACGTCACTTTGTCTAAAATCGAATCCACCTTGAAATTTATTCGTGATTTGTGACTCCTGGACATCCGATATCGCATGTACGTTAATGTTCTGTTGAGAAAAATTGGCTGCAAGTTAAGCATGCTGTAGTTAAAAGTTTTTCAAAGGTGAAGGGTCTTACTTACAGAACACATATTTCTTGTTCTTAAATACCGATAAATTTGGGTGGGTTCTGTGAAAAATAATGTTTACGTTTAATCTTTGGTTTCCCAGTATGAGGTCAAATACTTGGAACTTACTTTCAAAGGCTTGAAGGAATAATTCGTGATCGGCTTGTATATGGTCGATTCGTGGATTCTTGGAGGAGTCCAGATCTTTCTCACGCTTCTTGGGGGGCATTTTAATTTATTTAATAATAATAAATAACAATTAACCCGCGAAAACAACGGTGAGTTTGGCGTTCCTAGTTTGTACTATAAATTTTTGACAGATCTGACAGGATGCCACTGCTGCCAACGAAGGTGTGGCGGGAAATATAAATCTAGTGCATTTTTCACTTTCACCGGTTTCAATGCGTCCGCAAATTTAAACACACAACTATTATTTAAAACATAATTATGTATTTGTTTTTAATCACACGATACAAACTGAAAATCTTAATTAACATATAACTACTGAGAAATCATTTGTAGAGTTTTTATAAAAATTAGGTATATAACAGTTTTGTTGAAATGATACAGTCAACAATAAGGTAGTTTGTGAGGTGAATACAAAGAATTTTAGAACTTGTTGTCAACTCTACCAATCAACATACATCACAAATATTGAGTTCATCACTTGAATTCAAAGCAGTTATGCTAACAATATCAAGTATCATTATCACAAAGCAAACCTACAAAAAGTACAAAATTTCATACAAATAAATCCAATAGTGAAATAAAACTATTTATTGATTCCCCGTTAAGTCAAGATGCATGTAAAAGATTAATGTAATCTCTGCACATACATTAACATAAAATTAAATGTGTTGATCTCAATACTGTTAGCTTGGCGCGCACAACTAAGTCAGAAGTACTGCCATTTACCTAAAATTGCATCTTTAATTGCGTCTACATATTGTGCAGGCACCCAATAGATCCAGTATCTTGACGCTTCTGTAGGACCTAATTGCAAACCCTGGAAAATAAAACCAGATTATTGTAATTACACTAAAATCTACTACCAGTATGTGGTATTCCTCATGGCCTTCAATTGACTCTGAAACTATACTTTTGATTGATCCCATTGGTAGCTTTTCAGTACGTTCCTTAGTGCTTAGCCACAACTGGTCACTTTCTAATTTAAATGTCAGTCTAACTTTTCCTCCATGTTTATTCAACATTCCAGACAAAGGCAAGGGAGGCAGGCCTTCCTATATCATCACACAAATTCCATTAATTTGACTTAAATGGATTACTACCCACCTTCAAATTTTTAATTCCAGGCATTGCATCTTCAGGTACACCTTTATCCAAAACTTTTCTGTGTATTTTTTGTTTGCATAATGGTTCTTTAACAGTAGTGGCTTTTTCCATTTCTGCAACATCCTATAAACTACAATGAAACCAATATTCCTAGTGAGTCACCGACTTACTTGTTTACTAACCGACGACACCGCCAAAACGTCATTTAATGTAGAACCGACTAACATAATTTTAGAACCTTTTGTTATCCCAGCAGTGGACAAAGTTTGACTATCTTGTAAAAGTCCTTTATACATTAATTTTTGCATGGAATCAGGTATTCCTAAAACTCATGATTAACACCGCCCGCTCGTCATAAAACACGCTTTATACCTATGAGACCCTGTAGCTGTTTTTTAAAGTCTGCAATTGAGCAGTTTGCTGGTGCACTTACATCATATTTCTTTTTGTTGTAAACTACTTTAACTTCTATTACTTCACTCACTTCTTCATTTGATTTACTTTCACTTATGTCAGTTTTAGGTATTTTGCACTCTGAAGGCTCATTCAACTTATCACTGTCGTCTTTGGTTCGGTTCTCTTCAGAGATGTTTGAAATTTTGCTGTCATTTTCGCTAGCTACAATAAGACGAATTAATACTTGCAGAAATTGGAAACCAAAGCTCACAATAACCGCGTTTCATTTTTTTGGAGAAAAAGAATGACACTTTTCTTTGATAATGTATGGCAGAGAACTTCAATGGAATGTTTGACAGATAATGACTTGCAACAATTTCAAGAAAACTAAATCACATACTGTGAAAGATATTGACAGTCTAATCGACCGAATTAAAAGGGTTCAAATGTGAGTTAAATGTACCGGGAGAAAACAAAAATCATTTAATTAACAAGAAATTTAAAGAATCCCTTACCTACACACTCCATCTTGAAACGAAGACCGAAACGTGTGACTCACAGAAAGAACGTTAATAGGTACCAAAAATGTTTTATTACTTATATAGAAATAACTGCAACTGAAAATGAATGGATGCAAATACAAATGAGCAAAAGATTATAAATAAACGCTTTTATTCTGCACAGAAATTATTCCAAGTAGCGATTTTGTCAATATTTATGTTGGCATCTTGCCTGCCATATGTCAAAAGTTGACAGCAAGAAACGTGGCAAATTTAAACTTCAATAATACGTTTGGTCTGCGTATACACAACAAAACGGATTAAATTAGGAAAAAAAATTAGTTAATAATAATTAATTCCCGTTTATTTTTAAAAATATTAATCTTAAAACTTTCAACACGAAAATATTCTACGTGATAAATAAATAAGTGCCTTAAACTTTTGTGGTGGGTTTGTATACAAATTTCTCAGAAACCTCACAAATAATAAAAGTGCACCTATTTTTTAAATTATTTGAACATACAATGACTTTGGTTAAATTAAAGAGCATTTATCTTGACTAAAATAAAATGACTTTTGTAAATAATAATATATATAAAATAACATAAAACCATAAGTTCCAAGTCACAAAATAATTTCACCTTATGGTTCCATGGTTTCAAACAATCCTTAACTTAAAACTGAACAAAGAATGGCACAAAAATAATGTTGGGTTAGCATTATTGTGAAACTATAGATAGTAAAAAACATTATATACATTTTCATTCCACACTACTCCAATTTGTTTTACTGGTAACTAAAATACAATAAAAGAAAATGACTAAAGTTAAAAAAGAAGACTAGTAAAAATAAATAAATAATAGGACGTTTATGAGCTTAAAGTCTTTGGCTGAATTTAAAAATTGTCTATTGGCACTAGATAAAATCAGACTTTTATCAAATTTGAGTACATCCTATGCGTGATTTTTTACGCAGTCAACCATATTCAGACTGAACAGAAAGACTAAATTCGCCTGGAGTGATTGTTGTTCCATGATACCAAACTCTTGTATCAACTAAAACTAAAATAAATGCATTACTAACAAACAAACCTTTTTTTTTTTATTGATTTACTGGCATCTCCTGGTTCTACTAAAAACGAAAATTGTGAGCAAACATCTTCACACTCTGGTGGTGGAATTAAATGCCAAGTTTTAGAGCCTTTTAATTGAGCTTGCCACATCAAGCGATTTATAAAATCCAGCTGTAATTTGTTTAGAAAATTTTTGTCTTACAAGGTGTTAGTACTTACATGCATGGTGGCACCATCGTCATAACCCATGAAAACGTATTCTTTAGATGGGATTTCACACGATTCTGGCAGGAAATGTGGTTTAGGATAGTATCTTCTCATTTCAGCTAATATTTGTGGATGGCAGTTGCCCCTTTGTATTGACATTATTAACACAAAAGCACAATAATACGTGTACACTTACCATCCCACATACCATGATTTTTCCCCTGGTTGATTTTTAATTCGAGCTTCAGTCATTTCAAAAACATCACGTATAGAAATAAAATTTGATTTAAAATGTAAAAATTGGCACTCCTCATCCACACTTCTGTAGGAATCTTCTATGCTGCTATAAAGTTCTTTAAAAAAATTAAAATCAAAGTGTTTCATCGCTGCCCAGTGTAAAAATGCCTTTTTTATAACTACTGGTTTAGATGTGTAGGCATATGGAGCAAACTCTTCTCTTGTTACATTTTGTAGTACGATAGGATTGGTAATATTTATACAAAAGTTGCAGTCTGATACTGGTCTGGTAGCTTCCCATACAAAATAGTTGTTCGGGACAATACACCGAACTCCCAGGAAGTAATTGATGGCAGTTGAAAATACTTCATATTGATAGGTACTGATTACTAGGAACGCTAATCCTAAAAACGCTATAAATAATCCAGAATTTGCGTAATTTGAACGTTCTGATGGTAGGCAAGCATTGTAAAGTTCCTTTGTACTAAATCCAGACTTGAGAAATTCTCGGTTCAAACCAGTAAATATATGCTTTATTTCTTCATGATTTTTCTTACTTTGTTTGTTATTGTTCATGATGAAAACACATTTTTACTGAATTGACAGTCGACATATTTTCGTACGTCAGATTGACATTTATTGACATGTAACATGTGTCGTTGACGTTATCATGACGTCAGGATCTGATTTGGAATGACGTGTCCAGAATTAAAACTTGCATTAAAATAAATGAAACTTAATAACTTTTTCATTTTACTCAATTCAATATAAAACCGACATACAATTTACACTTTACAGCTGTGTGTAAAATAAATACGAAAAAATTTTTAAAAATCTTTGTTTTGAATCTAGGGATTTTGTTTATGCTACGTCAAACTGCAGTACTGCACTGAGTTAACCTCAAATTAAGCGTGATTGTCAGTACTTTAAATCAATAATAATGTCTGATATAACATTTTCAGCGAGAGCTTACTGCAAAATAATTTTGCACGCCGCGAAATACCCTCACTGTTCTGTGAACGGTGTGTTATTATCGAAGTCTTCGTCATCAAAAGGGAAAGAAATCGAGTTTGTCGATGCTGTCCCCCTTTTTCATATTGCGCTTAATTTAACACCGATGGCTGAAATAGCCCTAATGCAAGTAAGTACACATCATTTACTCAATTACTGTACTTAATTACCGGATTTAAGATTGATGAACTTGCATCACAACAAGATTTAGTAATTTCGGGATATTACACAGCTTTAGAAAACATAAGGGATTGTTCATTTGAAAAAGCGACTCATCGAATAGCCGATAAATTACCGTCTAACTTTCCGTCTCCATGTCTAGTTGTGGTAAATAGCACATTAGTGAGATTTGAACAGGATTTGATTTTTTTGTCTTTAGGTGGATAATACCAAATTAGGCATTCACATGGACAATGTGGCTCTAAAAGTGGCCCAGTTTGTTGATGGTAGTTACAAGCCATCTGACACAAACCGCATTTGTTTAAATCCGGACACGGCGTTAGATGTTTGCTCAGGCCTATTAGAACGCAGTGGATACAATTTAATTGTTGATTTTGATAATCACTTAGACAATATAAGTTTAGATTGGATGAATCCTCAGCTTAATGAGGAAATAGATAATTTGGTTAGTGTATTCGATTAACTTTAATTTGTTTCCCGTGGAAAGTTGTTTACTTGTGTAAATCAAACACTTTTTTAATTTTTTGGTGTGTATTATTATTTATTGTTGTTTCAAAGTATTGCATTTGTATTGGTAAATTTTATATTCACGTTGATGATGTACGCAGACATTAATAAAACATTTAATGAAACGCAGTGTATTTTTATTGTAAAAAAAACAAGTGGGTTAACTTTTTCTTTATTGATAACTTTGCAAACACATGGGATAAAATGGAATAAAAATTTAATACAGTATTGCATCTAGAGGATGGATGTACAGATGATAAATGTGATCAAAATATAATGCAGTGTTTGTCTGTTAATAATTTTATAAGAGACTTATGTTCATGTTTGCAAGCATTTTTTTTACTATAAAAGTATTGGACCGATTATTTTGTGAACATGCACATAAGTGAATTATAAGCTGACACATTTTGTCGTCTGTACACAACATCCAACAAAACCAAACACGTAGCTTAAATAAGGACACTTCTACGGGTCATGCGCGTGATTACATTTTTATCTACAATATAAAATAAACGCTCTTTATATATTATATTGAAGATATTGATTGGCAAAGCGTTGCAATTGTAAAAAAATCGCAAAATAATCTGTTTTGTACTTTCTTTTTCTTATCATTCTTAAGTATTCAAAAACCGACTCACGATTATCCTTTATCACCATTACTTTAGAAACCGTGTCAGGCACCACGTACGAGTAAAATGGTGTCATCATAATACTGTTAAATTATTTGAATTAATCAACACTGTATGTTTGTTAAAATTGATGCATACAGTCGAACTTCCGTAAGTCGAACCTCGTAACTCAAAATCGTGATGTTCACTGTGTTCGTGCAGTTTTTAAGCGAACAAGGCACGAGACTTTAGGTTTAGATTGTACTGATTTTTATTTATTTTTTTGTATGTGTTTATGTAAATGGACATATATTTTTAGTTCACTCTATAGCTTGGTCTAGTTTTAGTATAAAATTGTACACCTGTCATAACTCGAAGTTGTGTTAACACTTTTTTTTAGTGAATAGTGAAAGTTCGATTTGTTGAAATTCAAATATAGATGGTTCAGACAGATGGCGTCGCCAAAATCCTAATTATTACTAATTTTGTGAAAAAAATGATTTTTGGGTGTTTGATTAATTCAAATAATTAGGTGCATCCTCATGTTTCGTCGTAACATTATTTAAACCAGCCTTATACCTCATTTCTGCCGCACTGTTGACTATTTATACTTTATACCACTTCCTTGCGCGCTTATCTTATTAGTTTCATAGACAACCACTATTTTGTGCAAGATGTGTATGTTTTGTTAAATACGTGAAGAAAAAATTATCGCTACAATAAAACAGAAATGGAAATTGTTACTGCAACTAGAGTAGGTTGAAATGAACATGCTTTTGATGAATAGGAATGTCAATCACTGCTCGTGCAGATTATTGCACATATTGATTTATTCTCTTTCACTCTTACGTAAATAGAGATATCCTGAGAATTTATAGATGAGTATGTCGTTGAAGTAACAATTTCATAAAAGGTCGTCGTTTCCATTTCCATCACTTTTAGTATATATTTGATATTCACAATGTTTGTCAAAAATAGCAATTAATTAGGTAAAAAAATACCACTATTATTAACATATGAATCAGTAACAACGATTTGGGCAAATTCTCGTCGGGGTCAAGTGAACTGTAACCACTGAAGCAAGAACTGAAACTAGGTCCCAAATTGGTTTTCTTAAATTTTGATTATAAATTGAGCTTCAGTTTCAATCCCAGCTTCAAACAGTAAACTGCAGATGAAATGTATCTGTTCACCCTTTAAGTAGCGTTTTTTTTTTAATTTCGTTGGTGTAATTTTCCTTTTTTACCAACCTGACGCTTTAGTGAGTGTACAGATCCATTTCACAGTGTAGGTATGGGATTAGTTTTTTAGTTCGTTAGGTACTATTTCAATTTGGTTTGTATTATACATTATTTTACATAATTCAAGTTATACAAAATATGTATACCTATCGAGTGCATTTAATAACAATATTAAACTGTACCTTAAACTAATAACAATAAATGTGTCATTATTGCAATAAACTGGCGACCAGCACCAAGAACAACAACCTACACCTCTAATAAAATTTAACTTTATCACTAAGTAATATTATAATTTGTGCTACTTAATAATAACTGTTTTACTAAGCCTGTTGAGCACACTATTTACGGTCTACTCTCACATTGGTAAAAATCATTGCTTTCATTAACAATAATTATGATCATGTTTTAAATGTTTGTATATGTTTTTTATTTTAGTAAAACAATCTTGTGCTGTGATGAGTTGTGTCTGTATTAATAGATCATCAAATGGTAAGTCAGTCCATTGAGACTAGCTCAAACATGTTGTTATCCCCGTAAAACGCTATTACTCTTTGTTTAGTTTACTTACAAAATGACTTTCGCAAATAAATGATTGTGTTCAGACGTACTGTTACATTTTACAAAAGCTAATGTAACAACTTAACTAGAATATAGGAAAGGGTAAGGCAAAAATGGTGATTAGTATTCGTTTTTCTCATTAAATTTTGTTTTTAAAAATTACTTAAATCGTAAATGAGCGGTACAAAAAAATTGTAACAGATTCTATGTTTATATAAATAAAAAATCTTTAGATTCCGGGAGTGTGAAATTATTAGCAATAATTAAATTGGGCGAGTTTGAATTGTCGCACCGATTGTTTTACTAATTTTATATTTATTTATAAATATGCATGTATATGTTTTTTTTAAATGTATAAAATGCGCTTTCGCTGATATTACTACAATTTTTCCTTACAAAGTTATGTCTTTTGGCATTTTCTTTTTTGTATATCTAGTGTAGAAATTAATGAATCCCCTGATTGCCTAATTCGATCAGATCTGTACTTGATTAATAAAAACTGTATTGTGTTGTAATTTCATCTGTAGAACCCACTAGAGTTACCAAGATTCGTGACTTAAACCTTTCTTTGTATATACAACCACTAGCAGATCTTTAGTAGATCACCACCACTTTCTTAATGTAAGAACCACGTCATTCAAACTGAAATCTATAGAGGGAATATGTTTAACATCTATTTGTGCGTGATTCTGTAGCCAAAAATCTGATTTTTCCGTTTCTGCTTCGCTCAAAAATTCATCCGATCAGGTTCATAAACAACAAAATATGTTTCTAGAGCGGCTAATTATTTTAAATGGACGATTTGGTAATCTATCGCATACGAATAAAGGTTCAAAATGGGTACAAATCAGTCGTAATAGGGAGATGATATGATGAGTTACATTATACCACAATTTTTCCTACTAATCCTAAAATGGTACTACTTTAACTACACACGACACGGATGGAATTTAAGCAGTGTTTCCTTACATATTTAGCATTAAGCTGCTAGTGGCCACGGTGTATATAAATTCTTTATTTTAAAATCACAACCAACGACAATATCTGCACCTTTTTTACCTTCTGCCATGCTCAGATAAGGGCGTCAAACATCAAATTTCGATTTGCTGTAACCTCTGGAGTTTAACTTTATTAACGATATCGAATAATCGCATCTTGTGGCGTGGGCTATGAATCGAAATCGTCTTCCTTCAGTGCAAGAGGCACCAGAACTGTTCCTCTACGCTTAGGTGATATTGGAGGGCTTACATGGGGGGTGGATGGGGCTGTGAGAGTCCCAGAAACACCCGTGGAAGTTATATCTAAACGGGAACTTGCCCGAGACGGCGGAGCAGAACCTGAAAACGTTGAAAATTGTTATGAAAACCGCAACAGACTTTAATAAATGCAAAAACCAGCGTTGTGCTTTGATAGTCATTGAGACTGAGTGTTGAAAACGTGCGAAAAGGTGCCAGGTCTTCTATATTTCTCGTAGAATTGGTGCATTTAGGCAATCAGTAAAGAAATGGATAGTGAACATACATTTGTAATGTACTACTACTGTACCCTTTAGGCTAAAAACAATGACGTTTACAGAGTTTCAATATTTCTATCCGTTCCCAAGATATAAGGCCTCGTTTTTTAATGTTTCTGGCACAGTTATGAAGTTAGTGGTACTTGCATATAAATTAGTATTTTAATTAAACTATCGAATAATTTATAGTTTCGTTATTCCTACCTGTTGTTCTTTTCTCACGTTCATACATATTTTATGTCGCGAACGTTATTTTTGTATGTGCTAAAATTTTATTGACTTCTGAAGTTAAATACAGTAAGAGCTGTTTAAACAAATCAGTTACAGGTAGAATCCCGTACTTTTTTACTTTCCGAGCGTAAGCTAACTGGCTACTTTTATGTTTTCTTGACGTTTCATGACGCCTGGAGTGTCTCTCTCTCTTTCTCCCTGTCTGTTTGCCATCTGTCCGGATTTTTATTATTATTATTTTGGTTACTGTTTTACCATCTACACGATAATTGTAATACACACATAAAATTTGTCTAAATCTCCGAAACTACTGCACCGGTCGTTGTCAAATTTTATGTGTATAGTAGAACTATCGTGTAGATGGTAAAACGTTAAGCAAAGTTTGGGTAATCATCCCCACTAGCAATGATGACTATATTTTTTGATTTTTCAATTTTTTCGATTCAATTTCATTCAGACTCCTACACTTGTGGACCAGTTTTTAACCTAGACATCGAAATTTTGAAAAAGTTAAAATTTTATAATTTTTCGTTTTCTTAATATTTTCAATTTTCAACTTTTCGAGTTTTCAGTGTTTCGATGTATCGATTATTCAGGTTTCTATTTCTCAATTTTTCGTTATTTCAGTTTTGGGATTTTTCAGTTTTTTGATTTTTAAATTTTTCGATTTTTCATTTCCCCGATTTTTCAATGTTCAATTTCTCAATTTTCAATTTTTGGGTAAATCAATTTTTCGATTCTTCAATTTCTCTATTTTCCAACACATTTCTGTTTTACGATTTTTCAATTTTTAAATTTTTCAATATTTGAATTTTTGACGTTTCTAAATTTTCGATTTCTCGATATTCTGATTTTCCTATTTCTCGATTTATTCATTTTTGGATGTTTCGGTTTCTCAACTTCTCAATTTCTCGATTTTTGAATTTTCTGATTGTTCTATTTTCCAAGACATATTTGTGTTTTACGATTTTTCAATTATTCGATTCTTCAATTTTTTGACTCTTAAACTTTTCGATTTTTCAATATTTCACTTTTTTAAGTTTCTAAATTTTTTATTTCTCGATTTTTCGACTTTCGGACTTTTCCAGTTTTCGACTTTTGGATTTTTCGATGTTTTGATTTTCCTATTTCTCGATTTTTAGATGTCTCGTCTTCTTTTTGGATTTTTAGAATTTCAATTCTTAAATTTTTCGATTTTTCAGATTTTTGATTTGTCAGTTTTTTAATTTCTCAATTTTTCGATTGCTCAATTTATTTAGTTTTCGATTTTTCTATTTTCCAATACACATTTTACGATTTTTCAATTCGAGTCTTCAATTTTTTGATTTTTAAATTTTTCGATTTTTCAGATTTTTAATTTTTCAATTTTTCGACTTATTTTGAGTTTTGGGATTTTTAAATTATTTGATTCTTCATTTTTTTGATATTTTAATTTTTTGATTTTATAAATTTTAAATTTTTTGGTTTCTCGGTTTTTTGATTTTTTAGTTTTAAATTTTTCAACTTATCATTTTTTTTAATTGTTACATTTTTCGATTTCACGAGTTTTGAATTTTTTAATATTTCAATTTTTCGTTTTTTCAAATTTCCCATTTCTCAACTTCTTCAAGGTTTAAAATTTTTTGGTTTCTTGATTTTTCAAGTTTTTGATTTCTCAAATTTTCAACACTTCAATTTTGGGAATTTTTCCATTTATAAATTTTCTAAATTTTTCGATACTTTAATTTCAGATTTTTCAGTTTGTCGATTTCTCGACTTTTCGATTTCTCAATTTTTTTATTTTTAGATTTCTCTATTTTCCAATACATATTATTATTCTTCGATTTTTAAATTTTTTTGACGTTTGTAAATTTTCGATTTCTAGATATTCTGATTTTCCTATTTCTCGATTTATCGAATTTGGATTTTCAGATTCTCAATTCAATTTTTCGTTTTTTTAATTTTTCGATTTCTCAATTTTTTATTTTTCGATTGTTCTATTTTCCAATACATATTTGTATTTTACGATTTTTCAATTATTCGATTCTTGAATTTTTTGATTCTTAAATTTTTCGATTTTTCAATACATATTTTGTATTTCAATTTTTGACGTTTCTAAATTTTCGATTTCTCGATTTTTCGACTTTTGGACTTTTCCAGTTTTCGACTTCTGGATTTTTCGATGTTTTGATTTTCTTATTTCCTGATTTTTCGGTGTCTCAACGTCTGGATTTTTCGATTTTTGGATTTTTAAAATCTCAATTCTTCAATTTTTAGATTTTTTAGATTTTTGATTTTTCAATTTCTCGATTTTTGGATTCATAGATTCTCAATTCTTCAATTTTTCGATTTTTTAATTTTTTGATTTGTCAGTTTTTTGATTTCTCAATGTTTCGATTTCTCAATTTTTTTATTTCTCAATTTTTTTTATTTCTCATTTCTTTATTTTTCGATTTTTCTATTTTCCATTACATATTTCTGTTTTACCATTTTTCAATTATTTCATTCTTAAATTTTTCGATTTTTCAGATTTTTGATTTGTCAGTTTTTTAATTTCTCAATTTTTTTATTTTTCGATTTTTCTATTTTCCAATACACATTTCTGTTTTACGATTTTTCAATTCGAGTCTTCAATGTTTTGATTTTTAAATTTTTCGATTTTTCAGATTTTTGATTTTTCAATTTTTCGACTTATTTTGAGTTTTGGGATTTTTAAATTGTTCGATTCTTCATTTTTTTTATATTTTAATTTTTTGATTTTATAAATTTTTCGATTTCTCGGTTTTTTGATTTTTCACTTTTCAATTTTTCAACTAATCATTTTTTTTAATTGTTACATTTTTCGATTTCACGAGTTTTGAATTTTTTAATATTTCAATTTTTCGTTTTTTCCAATTTCCCATTTCTCAACTTCTTCAAGGTTTAAAATTTTTTTGATTTCTCGATTTTTCAAGTTTTCGAATTCTCAATTTTTCAACACTTCAATTTTGGGAATTTTTCTATTTCTAAATTTTCTAAATTTTTCGATACTTTAATTTGAGATTTTTCAGTTTGTCGATTTCTCGATGTCTCGTTTTCTCGACTTTTCGATTTCTAAATTTTTTTATTTTTAGATTTCTCTATTTTCCAATACATATTTCTGTTCTACGATTATTAAATTTTATGATTTTTGAAGTTTCTTAATTTTCGATTTCTCGATATTCTGATTTTCCTATTTCTCGATTTATCGATTTTTGGATTTTCAGATTCTCAATTTAATTTTCGTTTTTTTAAATTTTCGATTTCTCAATTTTTTATTTTTCGATTGTTTTATTTTCCAATACATATTTGTATTTTACGATTTTTCAATTATTCGATTCTTGAATTTTTTATTCTTAAATTTTTCGATTTTTCAATACATATTTTATATTTCAATTTTTGACGTTTCTAAGTTTTCAATTTTTCGACTTTTGGACTTTTCCAGTTTTCGACTTTTGGATTTTTCGATGTTTTGATTTTCCTATTTCTCGATTTTTCGGTGTCTCGACGTCTGGATTTTTCGATTTTTGGATTTTTAGTATCTCCATTTTTCAATTTTTCGATTTTTTAGATTTTTGATTTTTCAATTTTTTTTTCTCATTTTTTTATTTTTCGATTTTTCTATTTTCCATTACATATTTCTGTTTTACGATTTTTCAATTATTTCATTCTTCAATTTTTTGATTTTTCAATATTTCAATTTCTGACGTTTCTAAATTTTCGATTTCTCGTTTTTCCGACTCTTGGACTTTTCCAGTTTTCGACTTTTGGATTTTGCAATGTTTTGATTTTCCTATTTCTCGATTTTTCAGTGTCTCGACATAGCGATTTCTCGATTTTTGAATTTTCAGTTCTTCAGTTTTTCGATTTCCCGATTTTTACTTCCCGAGCGTAAGCAAAGGAAGTATTGTAATCGAGTCCGTCGGCCGACTCTCTACTTTTACGTTTTCTCGATCTTTCATGACCCCTAGAAGACGAAGAAATAGGTCTCCCATTTCCGTCTGTCTGTCCGTCTGTCCGTCTGTCCGTCTGTCCGTCTGTCCGTCCGTCTGTCCGTCTGTCCGTCTGTCCGTCTGTCCGTCTGTTGTCACGGATTTTTATTAGACAGATAATCTCCGAAAGTACTCGACCGATTGTTGTGAAATTTTGTACTTATATTAAGAATATCATGTAGATGGTAAAACGCTAACCAAAATTTGTCGAATCATCCCCACCACTAAAGCGATGACGTCACTTCAAAATTGTACATAGTAAATGGGTTTTCAATTGTATAAAATAACATAGTCCTACACATGTAGTTTACAACTCTGAATCGACTTTTCACCCGAAACGTCCAGATTTTTGGAAAAAAAATCAAAATTATAAAACAACATTTTGAAATTTAATTTTTAATCTGCTAACCAGAATGCTTTGAAATGTTGCAGATGTTTTAAGGCTATAAAGAGCATCATAAATCTTTAGTCAAAAAATATTTGCTTATCCCCTCCAAAAACTTGATGACGTCAGCTCAAAAGTTTGTGGAATAAATCATATCTAAAATGTACAAAATATGATGAGTCTGTACTTGTGAACTATCACTCCATTAATATTTTTTGGATTTGCATATACAGGGTGACTCAAAAAAATTAATGAATGCGTAAATATATTTTATTGATTTAATCAGGAACTACAAAACCGAATGCTCTGAAATCTTGCAGATGTTTTAAGGTCATAAAGAGCATAATAAATGTTTAATCAAAATATATTTGCTTATCCCCTCCAAAAACTTGATGACGTCAGCTCGAAAGTTTGCCGAATAAATCATATCTAAAATGTACAAAATATGATGAGCCTGTACTTGTCATTTATCACTCCATTCATATTTTTTGGATTTGCATATACAGAGTGACTCAAAAAAATTAATGAATGCGTAAATTTATTTTATTGATTTAATCAGGAACTACAAAACCGAATGCTTTGAAATCTTGCAGATGTTTTAAGGTTATAAAGAGCATAATAAATTTTTAGTCAAAATATATTTGGTTATCTTCTACAAAAAACTGATGACGTCAGCTCAAAAGTTTTCCGAATAAATCGTATCTAAAATGTACAAAATATGATGAGTCTGTACTTGTGATTTATCATTCCATTCATATTTTTGGATTTGCATATGCAGGGTGACTCAAAAAAATTAATGAAGGCGTGAATTTATTTTATCGATTTAATCAGGAATTACAAAACCGAATGCTTTGAAATCTTGGGAATATTTTAAAGTTATTATAAGCATGGTAAACTTTTGTTCAAAATGTATTTGTTCATCCCTCCTAAAAAAATTGATGACGTCACCCTTAAATTTTGCTGAATAAATCCTATCTAAAATGCAAAAAATATGATGAGTTTGTACTTGTGATTTATCATTCCATTCATATTTTTTAGATTTTCTTAAGAGGTGGTTCAAAAAAATTAATGAAGTCAATTTATTTTATTGATTAAATTAAAGGCAACACTTATTATTAGTATTACACCCCAACCAACCCAATTTGGTAGACACAAAATTTGTTAAAGGAAAAACTCGGTTGAAACATAAGGGTAGCACGCTTATTTACATCGACTTTAACATTACAGACCTGCATTTGTTTTATGCGTTCACTTGATTCCGCGAATGTGAAATAGACATGTTTATAATCAACCAATTGTGAATTTCACCGTCAAGAATTAAAATAAAACCCAATGTTTTATATAATAAGCGGAAGTCGAAGCAATAAAACCGACGGTCGTTTTGTTTACAGTTTCTGTGTTTGGCTCTCACGTATGCTGTTACGCCTGTCATCTTAAATTAACAATGTTTATACATACACGATTTTCAGTTGCCTCTGATACGTAGGTATACGTGAGTAAATTGTTTCGTTATTTTATTGATTATTACAAATCAATATTCAAACGACCCAATTCATTTTCCCGAAAATTTGAGAATATAATAATTTTATTCTTAGTATTACACTACATCTATCCCAACTGATATACGTGTCCTTGCAAAAATGTTGATGACGTCATCGCAATTTTTTTTTAAATTCCCACTACAAAAATGTAATGAGAAAAAAAACACAATAGGCATGCAGTCGTCAAGTTTCCGACAGCGAGGGAAGTACTGTCTAAACTCTTTAGACCAATTTTTTCATTTTTCGTTACTTGAGTTTTGGGATTTTTAAATTGTTCGATTTTTAATTTTTTTGATATTTTAGTTTATTGATTTAATAATTTTTAGATTTTTCGATTTCTCGGTTTCTTGTTTTTTTGATTTTTTAGTTTTCAATTTATCATTTTTTTTAATGTTTACATTTTTCGACTGTACGAGTTTTAAATTTTTTAATATTTCAATTTTTCGGTTTTTCATATTTTCCATTTCTCAATTTCTCGGTTTTTCAATGTTTAAAATTTTCTGATTTCACGATTTTTCGAATTTTCGATTTTCTCGATATATTTTATTTCGATTTATCGACTTTCGATATTTCGCTTTTTCTATATTTCTTTTCTTGGATTTTTCCAAATCTCGATGTTCGAATTTTTGATTTTCCAATTTTTATAATTTTAGATTTTTTGATATTCGATTTTCAACTTCTTCCTTTTCGACTTATTGATTTCTCAATTTTTCTGTCTTTCGATTTTTCAAATTTTCGAATTTTCAATTTTTAATTTTTTCAATTTTAGATCTTTTTCGATATTCGAATTTTCTATTTGTTTACTTTTCGTTTTTCAATTTTTTTATTCTTCAGTCTCCCGCTTTTCCAATGATTTTACTTTTTAATTTTTTGATTTCTGGAGTTTCCGATTTTCGATAGTCGAATTTTCAATCTTCCTACTTTTCGATTTTTGATTTTTAGAATTTTTTCTTGCTTCATTTTTAGACTTCAATTTTATCGATTTATTTACTTTTATAGTTTTTGGTTTTCCAGAAGATTTTAATCTATGTTTTGATTTTCTCTTTTTTTTTCTTAATAAACAAAAATCGCAAAATCAAATTTTATAAGTTTTGAAAGAGGCAGGGTTTTTGGACTATACTTCAAAGGAGAGGGAAGTTCTGTCGAAATAACCTACCAATTTTTAAATTTCAATGTGCGTAAACATTGAAAACTTGTGGGTTTCGATTTTCTGAATTATAACACCTATATATTCCCCAAAGGCGAGTTATTTTACAAACGTCAATAATTCTGCAAACAAAAATATGTTCTGAGTACAGGTATATTTTTGCTTTCAATGGAATTTAGAACGCAGTTTCTGTGCCATGTGTTATAATCCAGTTACTTAAGTGAGTTAACTTACTTAAGTTAAATTAATTAAAGTTGATGGATTTCATAACAAAGGTGCTCGAAAAAACGTGTCTGGTTCTTTCTCATAAAGACTTCTTTAGTAGAAAATCTTTAAGAAAAAATTAGCCACTTAGGCCAATTTTTCGAAAGCATGTGCCTGCGAGAAGGTGTGACGAAGCCAAAATCGTGACAAAACCGTGCTCTTTAAGCAATACCGTGCGTATTTCCAAAAATCTCTCACCATTACAACAATAATTTTATGTGCACCTGTAAGGCTTCGGAGTCCTGCGGGTCCAGAGCGAGGCCTCGCTTTACTAGTACTAGCGGTGCTAGTAGTACTAGGGCTTCTTGTCATTTCCGACCGCGACCTAACACTTCTTTGCTTCCTCGATCGCGACTGATGTGCAGCTGGATTTTGATTTCTTGATCTACAGATTCCGGTCGGACATTCCTCGCCCATAACGCACCGGCCTTCGCAGATCGACCGATTTTGCAGCAACTCTTCATAATTATTGAGCATAAGAGAACACTGTTCTCGGTCTATATGTACAAGGGCTAAACTTGGATAACGTTCCTTGAGACGTCGGCGCTCCTGTAATCAAATTTAGCAATGTTTTAGTGTTATGATCATCGAGTAGTAAACGTTAATATGTGAGGTAGTAGCATGCGAGAATTTCTTGGCGAAATGGCAAGGTAGAGGTCATTCGAGCGAACGTATTGATTGACATTCAACAGGTTTCTCTTTATGTATTAGCTTCTGTTGTTATATTATTAATCAGAAATAGCAATGCAGAGAATGGGAAAAAACACGAAGATGATTTGTTTTGTCGTAAAGACAGAAGGAAGCACATTTAGTGTTGATAAACCGTTCCCGAGGGATTCAACTGCTTCCATACTTTTTAGTAACCCTGTACGTTTTAGGTTTTCGCGTAATATGTGATACGGAGGGTGCGAAGTAAAAACAGAGTTCATTCACTTCAGTGGAGGGCAAGTTCCGTAATTTTAAAATTTTCATTACACGATATTATAACCCGGATCCTTATTCTGTTTGATGAAAGCCTTCAAGCACGCATCAGAGGAAATTTACTTTAAGTAAAGATCAGACAAGAAACTTCTATTTGTGTTTTGAGGAGTTTCAAAGTCTTTTTGTAATATTCTAGTATATAATGACAAGGGTTTTATGGAGTTTGCTATACTGTACTCGTGAATATTATATTACACATTTCACCCGGACCATTACATTTAGAACACTGTTATGTTTGCCATTTCACCCCCTCGTTAATTATTTATTTATTACTGTTTGCAAATGATACTATACGTCATGCGAATGTAATCCAGAGGCTAAATTAAACTTCTCTATGTAAATTTTAACGAACCACCAGAACAAGGGTCATTAATTCCCGACATACTAAAGTTGTAATAAAAGGTTACTGTACGTGGTTAAGCATTCTAGGAGTGTTAGTAGCTGTAAGCTGATTTATCCTAACTAAATATTGTCGTTTCTGAACGAACCTTTAACTTGTTTCCTTGCAACATGGGGAAAGGCTAAAGTTTTAACAGCGATTAGAAATGTAAATTAATGTGTAGGGACAGGAAGATTATGTGTACATATATCTACATGTAGATTAAAAAAAAAAATAGGTATATTATATTCGCGACCTGTCTAGACCTGAGTAGACCACGTGTTTTTCTTTTTGTTGGCTACCCAAACTGACCTGTTTTTTTACTGTCACGTCTGACATGTTTGCCACTTTTCAGGTATCAGAAAAGTGGTGTTCTTTTTTTACTCAAGTAAGTAAAATTTTAAAGACATTAACATAAAACAATTACGTTTAAAATGTCAAAAGAAGTTTTATTGGAAATAAAACGTCCGATCAATGTAGGTGAGCTGTCTCAAAAATTTTTGTGATCATATCGACTTCATCCTCTGGCTAAAGAATCGAAATCAAAATTTTTGAGAGGGAACAAAACCGTGTCGTTTCAGCTATAATTATTTTTTTGACACAGTTTCTTCAATTTCTAAATTCTAGTGAAGATGTAATAAGATGTAATTAGCGTGTTTTGACAAAATATGGGTTTACCAAAATGGCTCTTCTATTCGTCGTTGGATACACGATTCAGATTTGAAAAGTAAAAGTAAAAAGTAACTTTTTATTAAATTCGAGAAATAGCGACAGATATTACTATAAACCGATGGACTGGACAATTTTTCAAAATTGGGTGGTCAATGAGCTTATTTCTGATTTGAACAAGTTGCAACGAAAGTGTGTAGTAGTAATGGACAATGTAAAATACTATTCGGTGGAGTTCGACAAACTACCCATATTTTCTGGCAGAAAAAGTCAAATGCAAGAGATCACAGTATTGAAAAAACAGAAAAAACGACTTACAGACAAGACGTGGTTATGAGGTAGATTACCCCCATACTTTTGTCAATACAACGCTATTGAAATGATGTAGAGGTTTTGTAAATTTTATTATAACAAACACATAACTTTTCGGCCTCCACCCAAAAAGTAAGGTCGATAATTTATGACTTGAGGGTCTAATGTATTCTAAAGATGTAATTTAGTAAACATTGTGCAGAACTTAGTGTGACTAATTGAAAACCCATGGGAAATTTGTATTTTGAGGAATCTGATTCAAATTTAGAAAATGTTGATAACGACGGCTCAGATTTGTACAACGGAATAATAGGTATTATCACTTGCCAAGATAACATTGAAATTGGCAAATCATTTACTCTCTAAGGAAATAAAGGGTGGGTGGGCGGTGTTAGTTCTTGTTAAGATAAGACTGATTTTGGCAAATGACTTACTCTCTAAGTAAATAAAGGGCGAGTGGACGGGGCTCAGTCTTGCTGAGATAAGACTGATTTTGGCCACCAATAAGTATTATTAATTTGGTATTAGGCGAAAATGAAATTATATTATAGTTATCACCAGAAGTAGAAAGATTGTTCACAAAGTTAAGCGTTTTAGTTCGAAAACCCCTAATTGTTTGATAGTAAATATATAAATTGCATTGTATTTGGGCGAAGTTAGTTTAAAGAAGGTTTTTGAATTGTAGGTATATCACGAACACATTTTGTACATTTATTTAATTTCTCGTTCTCTACTAGCGTCGTCTACCACCCCTTTATTTCCTTAGAGGGTGTGTCATTTGGCAAAATCAGTCTTATCTTAGCAAGTATTAGCCCCGTCCACCCGCCCTTTATTTTCTTAGAAGATACGTCATTCGGCAAAATCAGTATTGTTTTAGCAAGTATTAACCCAGCCCAACCGCTTTTTATTTTCTTAGACGGTATTCTAATTTTTATTCTAATACTTGTCAAGATAAGACTGAATTTGGCAAAGGACCTAATCTCTAAGAAAATAGAGAGCGGGTGGGCGGGGCTAGTATTTGTTCAGATAAGACTGATTTTAGCAAATTAGCTACACTCTATGGGTCGGTTTTATAAATGCCTGGTTCAAAACGAGTTCAACTGAACCGCAACTTTGGGTTATTTTCCATATCTTTATAATGTTTAACCATACAATTTTTACAAAAATGCTTCGACATTTACAGTGTTCCCTTTTTTGTTTACTTTCAGATGAAATTTGAACGCTTAAACAATGTCAAAGTGGCCCCGCCCACCCACCCTGTTTTCATTCTGATCATCATTTTATTGGATAAAAAGTAGATTTTATAATAATAATAATTCAGTGTAATTTAGACAAAAAAGTAAAACTAACTACGCCCAGCTGCGCTTTTGAATTTCATTGTTTTTTTTTTATTGTATAGTACCTAGAATTAAATTATTAATAACGGAAAATAACTAAAACGCTTAATACATACTTAAATGCATCTTGCCAGAGGACAGTCGTTTTTTCAAAATTAAAGTGCAACATTTTTAGATAGTAGTTTTACAATCGGAAAAGATTTTAGGGTTGTAGCACACCCGTGAAGAAAAACAACAGCAACAAAAGTCGCTGAATTTTGTTTTATTTAAAATTTAAATTAAGTTATCAAGTTCTGATTGTTTATTTAATTACTTTAATAATAATGTCTTTTGATGATATTGTTACGATGATTGGTGAATAAAATCAGCGTGGGTAAAACTTAACAATTTATTCCGCAGTAACTTAAATTTAGACGATACAAAATACAGCGATTATGTACAAAATAATTCCGGCGCAACTTGACTGGACTCTATCCTGTCTGGATCTGCCTGAATAATAATTATTCCCGAAGGTGGCCTCTATTTAAACCCATACTTCTGAAGTTGCTATTACTTCGCGTTCGTGTTATATTTCATTTCTTTGCGTATATGTGATTATTTTGATCTTGAAAAAAAAAAGTTATTAGCTCGACTGGAACTTCTGTTGATAAACTGTTAAGTGCTTAACAACTTCTACAAATATTCGCTAATAAAAGATTAAATTATATTTGTAAAAAATGCCTCAATTGTGAACATATAGCATGTTATTTTTGCCCGTCCTGTGTAAGCAACATTTATTTAATTATATTTTGAGATATACAGGGTGTCTCAACTAAAACTCCGCTGCTTAATATCTTGACAACGTATAGAGATACATAAAATTCTGTAAACGCTATGGCTTGTAGGTTGAAGGATGAAGCTTAATTTAGTACGTTGCGGCGCCGCGATTCAAACCTATATTTTTTTAAACTGCAACATACTTATATTTTTTGAACGGATTTTGGGAGACCGTTAAATTTTTATTACAAATATTCACAACACTTACATATTTATTATTTCATTATGAGTTGATCAAAAAAATAAAACTTATAAATATAAAAAAGTGAAAGTTACGTGAAATAAATACAGAGGCACCACTATTTTACGACAGTTCAAACATATGCGAAAACAACTACTTTTGAAACAGATTTCTTTAATTACAACTTTTACTCAACTGTCATTTTTTGTTTATATATTTTTTTGATCAACTCAAGTGTTATACACGGTGTCTCTTTTATTTGATACACCCCTATAACTTTTTGATTCTTAAAGATAAACCTGTAGATCTTTGAGCAAATTTGTATCATTTTAAAAAAATATAGATATGCGTCGCAACGGTGACACCATACATACATTTCCTCCCTCAAGCTAAAAACAATGGCGTTAACACAATTTCTATATATCTATCTGTTCTCAAGATATTAGTTTTAGATGAGACACCCTGTATTATCTATTTTTTGAGGAGACGAATACATAAAATTTTCTTAATGTTCTCTTATCACCAGGCGCAAAATATACCCTGAGCGGCCTTGAGCAGTCGCCCAGATAAATGCGTCGCAGAGTATCCACGTGATGTTGACACATACGACACGCCACGATCCAAAAGTCGAATGTAATGAACACAACAAAGAGACTTTATCAAGAAAACAAATATACAATGAAGCCTGAATGAAAATAGTTGAAGCTACGCCGTGAAATGCCAAGCACAGCTAAATGTTTTGCAGCTTGACGAACCGTCACTATTTTACTAAAAATTTGAAATGAATTAATTTAGTTTTTTAAATTAATTTCAAGATTCGAGTGTCATTTTTGAAAATAATTCCTATATCTATTGTAAAATAAAATTCAGGGTG